TTGCAGGCTTTGGGCCAACGACTTAGCAAGACCCTGTCTCAAAGTAAAATTTTAAAAAGTTTGGGATATAGCTCAGTGGTACAGTGCCCCTGGGTTCAATCCCCAGTACTGAAAAAAAAAAAAGTACCATCAACTTTATTTATTATGACCAAAAATCAAGAGTCGATCAACCATTGTATTAGCAAACAAATTATGGTATATTCAATTCACTCAATAGGATACTATAAAGCAATGAAAAATAACAAACTACCATTACTCACAAAATTAATAAATTTGAGAGACATAAAAGTAAATTTTAAAAAGCCACCAGGCACAGTGGTGCATGTCTGTAATCCCAGTGACATGAGAGACTAAAGCAGGAGGATCATGTGTTCAAAGCCAGGCTTAGCAACTAAACAAGGTCCTAAGCAAATTAGTGAGACCCTGTGCCACAATAAGAAACAGGCTGGGGATGTGGCTCATTGGCTAAATGCCCATAGGATCCATACATTACTAATATAAAAATAAATAAATAAAAAACTCTACACTGATTCCATTTATATAAGGAAAAAAAATTAAAAAGCCAAAAGTGATATTTGCTGGTAGCAATAGTCAGAGTTTACTTTTGAGAGAATGTGAGGTCAGAGGGTACTTGAGGCTTCTGGAGAGTGGCAGCCTTCCACCTGGATCAAGCACAGATAGCCTGGGTATGTATATGATGGGAAAATGCTTTATTTAGGACTTTGACATTTCATGTGTGTTACACTTTGAAAGTTTACAAAAGAGACATTCACATTTGCTGTGATCCAGTGATCCAAATTCAAGGAATCTGTCCTTCAATTTGTTAGGGATAAGCCCAGCTTTATGTGCAAAGACATTCCAGATAACTGGCTGAAATATGCTTTCACTCTTAGGTACGAGTGAGCCCAAGGCAGAAAGTCCAGGCTCCTTTCTTCTCACAATGGTACATAGGCAGGAAGAAGCAGAGACATCAAATGGATCACCCTCCCTTCAAAACCTTTATCCCAAGTCCTGGATTTAATTTCAAAGGAGGCTGGTGAGAACAGTGTTTTAGCCGAGCTGTTTCCATCAATCCAGGATTGTGTTAGTTGAAGGATAGGAGGTGTGTCTGTGAGAGGAAGCAGGCTGGACCTCCATCCCATGCACACCCTAATCTGGAGACACCGCTGTATGGAGGTCATTCCAATGGCACAAGAAGGGGCTGGAGATAGCTCTCTGCTTCCTTCAACTGCATGTACCTGGAGAAGGGCAACCTGGCTCTTCATCCTGCCTTAGGCTCTTCTCCTGGAGGGTCGGGGCTTCTAGTTGCAGCCTGCACCAGTAAGCTGCAGCCATCCACCACTCAGTGGTAAGTATCCCTTTCCTCAGCTCACTCACTTTGGTACCTGGCTCCAAATCCCCTTTCAGCCCACAGGCCAGTGATCATGCCACCTTTCACTGTGCCCTCCTGTCCTTCCCTTCCCAAGTTTAAGTCTCTCAAACAAGGCTTACAGCCTCTCTCTTGCATATACCCTTGACTCCACTGATCCTCTCTCCCTTTATCACACTTCCTGGGAAAATCCCACTAGGGAGCCAGGCATGGTGGTGCACACCTGTAATCCCAGTTATTTAGGAGGCTGAAGCAGGACGATTCCACATTCAAGGCCAGCCTGGGCCACTCAGTGAGACCCTCAGCAATTTAGAGACCTTGCTCAAAACAAATAAGCTGAGTGGAGTGGTGCATGACTGTAATTCCAGCGGCTCAAGTGGCTGTGGCAGGAGAATCACAAGTTCAAATCCAGCCTCTGCAACTTAACAAGGCCCTAAGCAACTTAATGAGACCCTGTCTCAAAATAAAAATTAAAAAGAGCTGGGTGTGATGGTACATGCTTGTAATCCCAGCAGCTCAGGAGGCTGAGACAGGAGAATAGTGAGTTCAAAGCCAGCCTCAGCAGTGGTGAGACGTTAGGCAACTCAGTGAGACCCTGTCTCTAAATAAAATTAAATAAATAAATAAATAAGGCTGGGGATGTGGCTCCGTGGTTGAGTGCCCCTGAGTTCAACCCCTGGTACAAAAAAAAAAAAAAATTTAAAAGGCTGGGGATGTTGCTTAGTGGTTAAATGCTATTGGGTTCAATCCTGATACCAATAAAATAAAAATGACTGGGGGTATAGGTCAGTGTTAGAGAACCCCTGGGTTCACTCCTAGTACCACAAAACAAACTCAATAGAGGCAAATCCAATTCTACCTGCCCTGAACCCAAGTGTAGGGACTGGAGATATGGTTCAGGAGTACAGTACTTGCCTGGAACGTGGAGCTCCAGTACCAAAACCCAAAAACAATTACAAAAACAAAACACAAAAGAAGCCAAGTGTGGCCTGAAGATAGCACACCCAGCCCTTCCCTGCTGTCTTCCTGTGGCACCCTGATTCTAAATCCCCCAGCCAAATGCCGAGCCCCTTCCCTAATGCCTTCCTAAGTGGGCCTGTGTTACCCTGGACATCCCACCAGATTTCTCAGTGTAAACACTAAGCAAGGGTCATGGAACATTGGGAGGACACATACAGTGTGGGAGAGTCCTTGGTATCAATTTAGGTGAGCTGGTGCTCAGCCTGTGATCCCAGCAACTCTGGAGGCTGAGGCAGGAGAACCGTTGGTCAGTCTCAACAATTAATGAAGCCCTCAGGAACTTGGTGAGACCCAGTCTGAAAAAAAGGTTTGGGATGTAGCTCAATGGTAAAGCACCCCTGGGTTCAATTCTCAGCGCTCACACACAAACACAAAAAGTCCATGGTGCTAAAACAAATGACTGGGCAGGGTTCTGAGCTTGGACTACCATGTCAGGGTCATCCTTCATGGCTTCACGAGTGTTAAGAGTGTACAATGCAGCCAGGTGCAGTACACAGTAAATCCTAGGGGTTTACAGGCTGAGGCAGGAGAATCACAGGTTCAAAGCCAGCCTCAGTAACTTAGCAAGGCCCTAAGCAATTCAGCAGGACCCTGACCCTAATAAAATACAAAAAGGGACTGGGGATGTGGCTCAGTGGTTAAGTGCCCCTGGGTTCAATACCTGTACCAAAAAAAAAAAAAAAAAAAAACAACTTCTTTATATTTAAATTTTTTTCTCTTGTAGTTATAGATGGATAGCATACTTTTTTACTTTTGTATGTGGTGCTAAGGATTGAACCCAGTGCCTCACCCATTCTAGGCAAGTGCCCTGTCACTAAGCCACAGCCTCAGCCTGTTTATATTTTCATAAACTGAAATGGGTACACTTAGTATGACCATCCTCAAAGTGCCCTGAAATAAATAGTACCATCTCCTCCCTGGGGAGATGGGACTTCCAGGCCCTCGCAGGGCCATCTCTTAAAGGGAAAAGGACTAGGGTGGCTCCTTTTTCCCAGTGAGCTGTGCTGGGAGAGGTGGGTGAAGGGGAGGGAGCTTCAAATAACATCTCAAAGACTAGGAAGCTGGCTGGGATCAGGAGTTCCTGAAAAGGACTAGGGAAAAGGACTAGGCTGGCTCCTTTTTCCCAGTGAGCTGTGCTGGGAGAGGTGGGTGAAGGGGAGGGAGCTTCAAATAACATCTCAAAGACTAGGAAGCTGGCTGGGATCAGGAGTTCCTCACTTGTATACCCAGAGTGCAGAGAGAGAGGGACCATGCCCTAAATTTATACACATGAATAAGATGGAGAGGGCAGGGGCTGGGCTGTGGCTCAAGCGATAGCGCGCTCACCTGGCATGTGCTGGGTTGGATCCTCAGCACCACATAAAAATAAAATAAAGGGACTGGGGATGTGGCTCAAGCGGTAGCGCGCTCGCCTGGCATGCGTGCGGCCTGGGTTCGATCCTCAGCACCACATACAAAACAAAGATGTGTCTGCCGAAATCTAAAAAATAGATATTAAAATTCTCAAAAAAAAATAAATAAAATAAAGATGCTGTGTCCCCCGAAAACTAAAAAATAAATATTAATTCTCTCTTTAAAAAAAAAAAAAAAAAAAAAAAGGGCAGGGAAAGGATGGGTAAGGCCTTCTGCAGGGAGCCTGAGAGCAAAGGCCGGGGGGAAGTGGTCAGAGTGAGGGAAATCCCAAGGAAGCGCCTGGTGTCCCTGGATTGGGGTGCAGGCCTGTTAGAAGGGGCCTACTGGGGAGGGCCAAAGTGGCCAAGGCCTACATCCCGCGGGTCCCCACCTTTTCTCAGCCTGCTTCACTCCATCCACCCCCAACTTAAGGACAGGAGGGGACGGTGGGGCTGAGGTCACTGTCTTCTGGAGCTGGAGGCCGGCTGCAGGCTAGGCGGGAGGAAGCTTTTGCCAGCCCGCGCGCGCTGGAGCAGTCAGCGGTGCTGGTACCGGGCGTGGGGGCCCCGAGCTGCTCTGGGTGGGATACTGGAAGGCCTAGCCAGGCGCTTGGCTTTTCCCTTGCGGACAGGGAGGGGTGACCGGCAGGGAACCTGGCGGTGCCGCCACCCCTCGGAGGCCCTGGCCCGCGAGGCAGGGGTGACTGTGTTGGGTGCGCTTCCCGCGGAGAGGACGCCCGCGCTGTCCTCCTCGGCGGCGCCCCGGGCACCCAGCAGCGCGGGGTGTAGAGAGGGCAGCCGGCTGAGGGAGGCCTGGGCGCTCCACAGAAAAGGATGGCCTCAGTCCCGCTCCCTGCCCCTGGAGGGCTCACGGCGCTAGCGAGCGCTTCCCCTGCGTCCCAAAAGCCGTACGCGACGTACAGCGACGAGCTGGCTGGCAGCTAAAATACCGGCTTGGGGGCGGATGCCGCCGCAAAAGAGCCACTGCGCGTGCGCAGACTGCTCGCCGGGGAGTCCCGCGGGACCACGAGAACCAGAATGCCCTGTGCCCGCGGCGCGCGGTGCTTGCCGGGATCTGCAGTCCGAAGGTGGAATGGGCGGGCCGCCGCGGTGCACGCCGGGGCCGGTAGTCAGCGGCTCAGGGCCGCCTCTCACCTGGCCGGCGTCCGGCGTCCGGCGTCCGCGCGGCCTATGGGAGCGGCGGCCCGTCGCCCCGCCCCGCCCGCCCGACGTCTGTGCCGGGACATGGCGGCTGCCGGTGCTAGGTCCTTGAGTTGATAGCCCGCTGATAGTTGCCAACTGCCCCCGTCGGCTGTCCGGGCGGGCCGGGCCCAGGCGCTGCCGGGACGGTGAGGAGCCGCGGCCGGCGAGGAGGAGGAAGTGGCTGCCGCAGGAGGCCGTCTCGGCCGGCACATGGCGTCCATCTTGCTGAGAAGCTGTCGCGGCCGGGGCCCAGCTCGCCTCCCGCCGCCCCGCGCCGCAGCCCCGCGGGGTAAGTACCCGGGCCGGGCCGAGGCGCGGGATCTCGGGGGCTCTGCTTGGCTCCGGGTGCCGCGTGCGCGGGTCTGGCCGCGCGGGCGCCTCCCCGCCGCGTGCGGCCCGCGGGGCGCCCGGCGGCGTTCTGACCTTAGTCGCCCGGGTCGCTCCAGGTCACTGTCCCCGAGGGGGCGTGGAAAGGTGTCCGTGCCCTCTCCGCGGGGAAGCGCGGCGTCCACTCTCGAGGACCGGCGTGCCCTGTGGCCACGCTCTGGTGGCGGAGTCAGCAGCCCGCAGGCCCGGGCACCACCCGCCCGCCCGCCATTGCCCGGGTGGGGCGCGGGCTGGCTGCGGGCAGAGGCCCGTGCTCCCGCTCTTCAGCGGCCTTCCGCGTTTGTGTCCTGTTTGTAAGGTTGCCATAAAGGTAAAAGTCACCCAGTGAGGGTGGGACACCCGGGAAAATGCAGTTCTGGACGCTTTATGGATTACAAGTGCACCAGGACAGGCACGGTTCTTGTCATTTTTAGCAACGAGAGCGGGTGGGGAGGACCGCAGGAGCTGCCCAGTTCCCGCCGCCTCTGCTGTCAGAGTTGTCTGTACCTGTTGATGTGTTCAGGATGCTGATGAAGTACTTCTGCCTCTTCGCATTTCTATAGCATGTTTATGGCTTAAAAATTAGACGATTTCTTTCTTTTTTTTTTCTTTTTCGTTTTGTTGTGCTTTTATTCCAGAACAGAATGTTTTTGTTTTGGAATAAATATATAGTTATTTTTCTTTATTTATTAAGAACATGTTCTTTAGTATTGTACACTGCACTGCAGGCAGATGGTTCGCTGCAGAACCAACAAGGGAATTCAGAGCCAATGGGACTCAGGGCTGGGCTGTGGGAAGCCTGTTCCTGAATGCCCTGAAGTGACATTCCCCTGGAAGTAGTACAGGCCATTATTAAGATCCCTGGTTAGTGTGGTTCACTGTCACAACTAATGAGCTAAGGCCAATACTGTATTAAGATTATTTTTATTCTTTTCCATGCTTTATTCAGCATATAGTATAATGTACTTTTTCTTTATTCTGTACGTATTTTATCCTGATATTCTCTCTGCTCCTGGACGCATTCAGGACACATTCGTTTAGTCAGGGCTCTTTAGATTGTGACACTTTCTTAGGCATCCCTTGTTTTCCATGACCTTGATAGTTTTGTTTTTTTTTTTTTAATTGTAGATGGACACAGTACCTTTATTTTTATTATTTATTTTTATGTGGTGCTGAGGGTCGAACTCAGGGCCTCATATGTGCTAGGCAAGTGCTCCACCACTGAGCCACAACCCCAGCCCATCTTGACGGTTTTGAGGAGTACTGGTTAGATATATTGTAGAATGCTTCTCTCATCAATTTTTTAAAAATGTTTTTCCCATACTTAAACTGAGGATAATGTGTTTGAAGGAGTAGGGCACAGAGATGAAGTGGTTCTCATCACATCCTATCTAGCCTCTGTACTGTCAAGATGATTTATCATTGTTCATTATCACTGTTGATATTGACCTTCATCCCCAGGCCAAGGTGAGCTTGTCTGGTACTCTCCTTCCCCTTTCCATGCTTTCTTTGGGAGAAAGTTGCTGTGTTTGAAGTCCATCTGAAGGATTAGTGCGAGAGAAGTATCCAGCCTCAAGGCCCCACAGTGCTGTTGTTTAAACCCAGGAGGACCATGGAGGAGTAGGCTGAGGGGTCAGGAGGAGTTCTTGATGCTCTTCAAAGTGCAGGTCCCAGGAGACCCTGGGAAACCTCTGAAGAGGAGGAGGTCAGGATCCTGTCATGGGAGCTTATTCTTCTGGAGGCCAGGAGAAGTAAGGTGTGGTATAGTAAAAATGTATATTTGGTGTCTGTGCCTGATCTTGGTTACTGAACTCCTAAAGCTCTTGGAGTGACAGGATTTTCTGGGTGTGACTGTAGTGGCTTTGTTATTCACAAGTCCCTTCTTGGATCAAAGTATAAAGTGCAGGTGGGGCTGGCCAGGCTGAGATTGGAGGGTTGGAATTTTAGCCTCAATCTCCAGGGAAGGGAAGGATATGGAGATTGGTGTAGTCCAGTTGTGCCTGTTTAATGAGGCTGTGAAGGAGCCTGATGTGCTTAGGACCCTCTATGCCTCTTCCTCTAGCCGCTCATTTGTGATGCACTGTCACAGTGACCAAAGCACTTAGCTGGGTTCTGTGCAAATTACCAAAACTGAGAGGGCTGTGGGACCCACATTTGTAGTGGGCAAAAGTGTAGGCAGCCTGGACACCCTTGCTGAGGGTCATGGGCTCCTGAGCCCTGGCATCCTGGGTGACCTTTCCCCCAGGGGTCTCTGTGGAGAGTTGGAATAGCCCTCAGAGTGGGTTTGGGTAGGGCAGGGGAAGTGGGGACTGGAACTCTTAAAACAGCATTGCCTAGGCTATGGGCTTGGGGCTAAGTGGGTGGGGAATTCTGAGCCAAATCCTGGTGGGACGGGAGTGGCCAGGCAGGGAGGAAGTGCAGCACCTTAACAGAGGAAGGGGCTGTGAAGATGTGCTTATGACCCTGTACTTTTACATTTAACTTGTAGGGCTTGATGCATGTAAGAATGTAGCTAATATCTTTTACATTATGAATTGTGCTGACTAAACACTTGTGAGCCCAGCTCCAACTTACTAGGCAAGTACTCTACCATTGAACAACATCCCCAGCTCCCAACTTACTAACCAGACTGTCCCCAGTCTGGTTAAGGTCCTAAATGTGACATTTGGTGGTATTAGATACCCTTCCCATAGAAGCATGAGTTTTGCCTCCTGGTAATGACATAAAATGACAAGTGGATGTCCTTACTGCCACTCCCACTGCCTGGAGGATTGGGCCAGATGGCATTTCACAGTGCCACCCTTCAGTCCTATTGGCTTCTTGCCTGCCTAGCCTCTGCACAGGCTCAGCTGGCCCTTCTGGGGTTGTTGCCCCTGGATCTACTGCACCCACAACTGTCTTGTCCCCTGCATGCAGTTTGATGGCACCACCCTCATGGTGCTGTGAGTGACCTCTGACATGCTTATGGGAACTAGAGTGAGGTAGGGAAAGCATCAGAACATGTCTGAACCCTAAAAACGACCTGTATGCTCGCTCATCACAGCTGTTATCCAAGAAACGGCTTCCTTTTGGTGTTGGTTTTTCCTATAATCTTCAGCCCTTGTCACCCTGGGGTTGTTGCTTGATCTGTAGGGCTGCCTGTGCATTGGGGGTCATGTACACCTTGGCCCCTGACCATCAAAGCCAGCCAAGGCTAGCAGGGAGGAGTTCCCAACAGGCGGGAACTATAGGTCCTAAGCCGGGGACCCAGTGGCCTTTCTCTAGGGCTTGGCCTGCTTGGCTTTCTCCTCAGGGCTGCCCTAAGACCCTGTTTCCTAACTGGAGAGACTTTTCACTTAGCGATGCTCGGAAGCCAGGCTTCCAGAAACTTAATGGGTTTCTACTCTCAGACTTTCACAGATGCCTGGTTGGGACCTGTTCACTTACTTCTTCCTTGTTTTTGTCATAGGTAGTCTGGGGCACCGGCATCGTGCTTGTCTCAGTTGTGCCAGCACCGTGGGGCTGATAAGCCGCCTGTAAGTACACTCATCACTTTGTACCTGTCTGCTTGAGAATGCTGAGTGTGGTGGGTAACTCCTGCGTTGTCAGGGAAAGAGCAGATCCTACTTTCTTTTTTGTTTTTATTTCTTTTAGATCCTTTATTTATTTATTTTTAGCAGAATGCATTACAATTTATATTACATATATAGAGCACAGTTTTTCATATCTCTGGTTGTATACAAAATAACAATTACCTTTATTTTTAAATTTTTATTTATTTTTTAAGAGAGAGAGGATTTTTTAATATTTATTTTTTAGTTTTCGGCGGACACAACATCTTTGTTTGTATGTGGTGCTGAAGATCGAACCCGGGCCGCATGCATGCCAGGCAAGCACGCTGCCACTTGAGCCACATCCCCAGCCCCAAACCTTTATTTTTTATGTGGTGCCTCACACATGCTAGGCAAGTGCTCTACCACTGAGCCACACCCGCAGCCCTCCCAGCCCTTTTTCTTATGAGCTGCTTTAGCACAGTCACACCTACGGTCTGCACACAGTCCTGGTGATCTGGTATGGTAGTCTTTCTGTGCTCCACACAGCTTCCCATGTCATCATGCCCTATGCTGTTTGGCAGTATCAGTTGGGGTATTGGGATCTTCTGTGGGCGCAGAGCAGACTCTCCCTGAACACAGTCCTTCAGGAGCATCCTGACTTGGGAATGACCCCAGCAGGCCCTGCACCTGGCTCTGGGGATGTACCTCAGGCATGGTGGACTTAGCCTTTCCCTGTGGCACCCACAGTTTAGTGATATGACAAACAATAGTGGATAGGTGGTCACAGGTCTAAGATAAGGTTGTGATACCGCTGCCAGACCAGTGGGCCAGTCCAGAAGAGCTTCCTAGAGGAAGTGGCAACCACATTCCCTTGTTTTGTACATGGGCTTACCCCAGGTGGCTCTTTGCCCTGCACTGTTCTCTCTGCTGGCATCTGCCTCTGCCTGGTCTTACCTGTGTTAGGGAGACCTTCTCTTCCTCCTAGGCTCTCAGTTTAGGACACCACAGTGGTGCTCATCTGTTTTCCCTTCAATAACCCAGCTGCTTCCTGCTTCCTGTGGGAAAGAGCAGGACACCAGTGCCACTAGATACTCCTTATAGCTGTGGAGTTTGCAGGGGGTTTTGTTCATTTGAGATTATTAATTTTATGGGGTGGGGTGCTCAGGATTAAACCTAGGGGTGCTCTATTATTGAGCCACATCCTGAACCCCCTTTTTTTTTATTCATTTATTTTTGTGGTGCTAGGGATTGAACCCAGGGCTTTGTGCATGTGAGGCAAGCACTCTACCAACTGAATTATATCCCCAGCCCCCTTTTTTAAAATTTTGAGACAGGATCTTGCTAAGTTGCTGAGGCTAGCCATGAACTTGAGATTCTCCTGCCTCAGCCTCTTGAGTCACTGGGATTATAGATGTGTGCCACTGTACCCAGTGACAGATTTAATTCTTTTTTTTTTTTTTAATATATATATATTTTTTTAGTTTTCGGCAAACACAACATCTTTGTTTGTATGTGGTGCTGAGGATCGAACCCGGGCCGCACGCATGCCAGGCGAGCACGCTACCGCTTGAGCCACATCCCCAGCCCCCAGATTTAATTCTTTAAAATAAAAACTATGAGGTGTGTGTGAAGGTTTGGTTGTTACTGAAGCACAATTTGATTTCTGTGGCGTATGTCAGTGCTGGAATGAGCAACCAGGCCTGTGTGGCGTCTTGGGCTCAGGCAGTGTTTCTGTGGCTGAATTGCTGCTGAACATGCAGTGGTTGGTTAGACACAGACAAAACTGGCTAAGAGAATTGCCCATAGTCTGGTGTGGTGGTGCACACATGTAATCACTGTAGCTTGGGAGAGTGAGGCAGGAAGATGGCAAGTTCAAGGCCAGCTGGTGTCAAGACAGGGTTCGAGACCCTGTCTAATTAAAAAGGGTTGGGGGTATAGTTCAGGGGTAGAGCATCCCCAGATTCAATCTGTACTACCACACACACACACACACACAAAAAAAAAAAAAAAGACATAAAAAAGCATGATCCATTCTGTGCCTTCCACCACCAGCTCAACCCAGCAGGTACAGGATTAGTTAAGTTTCACTTTCATAGTCTCAGGACTGTTGACATGAAGTCTTCTGATGAATGGCAACATTAAGGTATGCACACAGAGCAGTTTTATTCCTGCTGAAGTGTGCTTTTCTGAAGCCAACTCTAAGGTCTGTGGGTGGCTGGGAGTGTGGTGGTTACCTAGGGTGCCATGCGGATGTGACCCTGTAGGGCCTGCTCTTTGGGTTCAGAAGAAGCTGGAGTCTGTGTGTTTCTGATTTTAAAGTACTGACCCCAGTGCTGACTAGGTGCTTCTCATGGGGACTCATGAATCTGCCCATGTGTGAGATAGAGTTGCACTGATCAGGAATTCAAAGCTTACCCAGGCATCTATTATTGGTCCAGTGTGGTCCATCTGCAGTTCCAATGTCTGCCATTTTTCCTAGTGAGTTTTCTAGTGGATGCTTGTCTAGATACCAGGTTCTTGACCTTCATTTCTAGGCCTTCCTCTGAGTTCTTGAGTGTCCCTTTAGATGAACTTGCCAGCTGTTTCAGTTCTAAAAGAGTCTTTATGGGGGCTGGGATTGTAGCTCAGTGGTAGAGCACTTGCCTCGCATGTGTGAGGCACTGGGTTCGATCCTCGGCACCACATAAAAATAAATAAAATTTTAAAAAAATTTAAAAAAAGTCTTTATGGGATTGTGACTGAAATATCATTAAACTTATCAAACCACTAGGAATAGTAACTTTTTTTGGGGGGATACTAGGGATTGAACTCAGGGGCACTCAATCCCTGAGCCACATCCCAGCCCTGTATCGTATTTTATTTATCACCGAGTTGCTGAGGTTGGCTTTGAACTCGTGATCCTCCTGTCTCATTCTCCCACAGCGCTGGGATTACAAGTGTATACCACTGCTCCTGGCTTAGGAATAGTAACTTTTATAATATCAGATTGTCAGTGAATAAATGCACACCTATAACCCCAGCTACTCAGGAGGCTGAAGTCACAAGTCCCATTTGGACAACTTAGCCAGACCCTGTCTTGAAATAAAAAATTAAAAAGTGATGGGGATGTAGCTCAGTGGTTAGGACCCCTGGGTTCAATGGATGACTTTTAAAAAAAAAAAAAAAAAAACATTTTTTAAAAATATTTATTTATTAATTTTTTAGTTTTCAGTGGAAACAACATCTTTGTTTGTATGTGGTGCTGAGGATCGAACCCGGGCCGCACGCATGCCAGGCGAGCCGCTACCACTTGAGCCACATCCCCAGCCCTGGACGACTTTTTTTTTTTTTTTGGTGCTGGGGTTTGAACCAGGTGTTTTTATTTATTTTGAGATAGCGTCTCATTCATGCAAAGCAAGTGGCCTGCCACTGAACTACATGCCCAGTCTCTACTTTGTTTTATTAAGATCTTTCTCTCCTCTTTCAGAAAAAGACATGCCATTCTTTTATATTACCTTTCTTTTTTGTGGGGGGAGGTACCAGGGATTGAACTGAGGAGCACTCGAACCCCTGAGCCACATCCCCAGCCCTAGTTTGCATTTTATTTAGAGACAGGGTCTCACTGAGTTGCCTAACACCTTGCTTTTGCTGAGGCTGGCTTTGAACTTGCAGTCCTCCTGCCTCAGCCTCCCCAGCCGTGGGATTATAGTGTGTGCCGCTGTGCCCAGCTTCTTTTTTTTTTTAAAGAGAGAGAGAGAGAATTTTTTAATATTTATTTTTTAGTTCTCGGCGGACACAACATCTCTGTTTGTATGTGGTGCTGAGGATCGAACCCGGGCCACACGCATGCCAGGCGAGCGCGCTACCACTTGAGCCACATCCCCAGCCCCCCAGCTTCTTTTTTATTACCTTTCCAAGTGGTTGCTGCTGGCACTTGTGGCATTGCTGTGTGTGATGCTGTTGAGTCTGGCCGCTTGGCACCACTGTGTTCACTTCCAGTTTGGCTCACATGGCAGCACAGATTCAGGTAGGGTCATGAGCTTGCTGGTAGACAACAGTGTTGCCTCTTCCACCCCAGCCTCCAGTGCGAGTGGTTTCAGTTCTTGCCTGCACATCCAGTTCTGCCTTAGGACGGCTATAGTCAGTCATGCACCATCATAGCAGCAGAACAGGGGCTAGTGCTCATTGCCTGTAGTATAGCTTTGGATTTCAGTATTCTTTGCCATGGCTGTTTATTCAAGTATTTTTATTGGGAAGGGACATTTTTAGCACTTAAGGTTCATATTAAAATTTAAAATGTGTTCTTTATTAATAAATTTTTAAAAGAGATTTACTTAATGAAAAATGGTAAAGCTGTTTAGATGAACTCATATTTCAAATTAGCACTTTCCGGTGAGCAGCAAAGAGCTTTCATTTTTCAATTTGCACAGAATAAGAAATCTTGAATCACACCCAGAATAGTCACTGTGAGTGGTAGCCATTGGTATGGTTGTTTGGCAGTTATTTTACAGCCTAAGATAGTCTTTGATTGAAATGGCCCAGGCCCCTGATGGGGAGTAGGTGGAGTACTTTCCATCCAGCACAGCATTGGGACATTCCTGAGTAGCTTTTGACCTTAATTATGGAAGTGAGGGAAGCAAGGCAGCACGCCATCTTTGCACAGGCAGTGGGCATTTATGCAGCGAGCAACAAGCATCCTGCAACCCAGTGGGGCTTTCCCCATGGTGGGAACACTTGATTTGGGGTGAGGGCCCTTTCTGTCCTGCATTTCCACGTGGCATGAATGCCAGTGAGATGTGCTTGGGAAATAGCACTATGCTGATGGCCAGGTGCATCCAGGCCCCTGGCAAATGTTCCTGTAGTATGTGTCCTTGGCACATAGCAACATTGCTTTCCAGGCTCACAGTCTCAGGCCTCAGGCTGGAGCAATGCACTGGGCCTCTTGGTTACTTTGTTTGTGTATGTTCTCTAGTCCCCCAGCAGAGGGGAACCAGTAGTTTCACATCTTAATGTGGAATTTTTGTAAGCATGGGGCTCAGAGTTGCCCTGCGCTTCTGGAGTCATCCTTCCTGGTGGTGGTGGCTGTTGCTATGTCATTCCTCTTTTATTTGTTCTTTCTTATTGGGGATTTCTTAGCCCCTGTTAGCATTATGCCCTGAAGAACTGGGCAACATGTCCTGGTTGATGTCCTCCCTGGCTTGACCTTGGTTCATTGCCTCACTTTGTGCCTGTCTGAGGGCAGCCATGGCAGGAGGTTCTGGGAGTGCCTTATGCCAGTCGTCTCCTTGGGAGCAGCCTGCAGGCCTTTGTACTTGTGGCATTTTTACAAATTTTGACAGAAGTCAAGAACACATTGTGACAAGAGAGTAGGTCTGGGACCCCATGCTTACTCCCCGAGTGACTGTGCATCTGACATGGTAGGGCTCAGAGATGCTGCTTCTTTGCAAGGCACTCCTTGGTTTTTCTTTTCTGGAAGCGAAGATAGGGTGTCTGGTCGTGGTTATTGGTGTTTGCATCCTCAGGTAAGCAAACAGCTTCACAGCAGTGCTGGAGTGTGTAGTGTGCCCAAGCAGGCCTCCTACCAGCTGTCTACTGTGTGCTTCTTGTTGAGATGTTGCATTTGCTCAGCAAGGTTCCCCCATTTTACAGGTGATTTATCAAGGAAGAGAAAAGCAGGAGGTCAGTGATAGCGTGGTGAAAAGCTGGGCCTCTTGGACTGGCCTTCCTGGATGGTGCTGTCTCAGCTGCTGGCTAAGTTCTGTGTTGATCAAAAAATGTTTTAATGTGATGTAGCAGTGCACAGTGGTGCACGCCTATAATCCCAGCAGCTCAGGAGGCTAAGACAGGGGGATCCCAAATTTGAAACCGGCCTCAGTAAACCTTCCTGGCTAGATTATTAGTAAGAGCTCTCTGAGCTTGAACACAGCCAGGTCTGTGGGGGTGTCCCAAAACCAGATATGCCATGAACTTCTGTGCTTTGTCTGTTTTAAAATCTCTTCATCTTTGTCTGTTGGCTGCCCCTTTAAAAAACTGCTGACATCTTGCCGCCTTATGGAAGCCTTGTTAATCAAATGTTGGAAAGCTGTATAATTAAGCATGATGGAGAGAGGAGTGACATGTATTCCACATGTAGGCACTGATGCCATCCACACATGACGAGAAACGTGGCCAAGTGGTTCTCTGAGCCTGAGTGGGCTCTGCCACGTTCTCTGTGGCCTGGTCCTCAGCAACACTGTGGCTCAGGATGGTGAATTCAAGGGATGGTTTCCAGGCGCTTGGGTGAAACAGTGAGGAGAGCCCACACACACCGAGGGAGGTACACACCCTCTGCTCACCACACCAGTGTCATGGTGTGGCCCCTGTACTTTTTTGTCTCATCACTCCATCTTCAGAAGCTTTCTGTGAGCTCAGTGCTAGACTTTCAAGTCGGTAGTTGAGGGAAGACGGATCCTGGAGGGCTCCTAGAGAGGTCCACAGCCAGTGCCTGTGCCCAGTGTGTTTCATGCTGGCAGAGCAATGCCCCCACTGGACCTGCCCTCCACCTGCTGCAAGCTAAGGCAGGTAGGTGCACCCTGGTGGTCCTGCAGGATCCAACCTCTAAGCCTAGCAATTCTAGAGGTTCCCATCTTGCATCTTCTAGTTTGATAGAATAGTCATTGCCACAGCCATTTCCTATTCAGGGTACTAGGCACGTATTCACATGTACTTCCAAAGGAAGCTCCCAGAGCCTAGAGTTGAAGTTACTTGGTCAGGATCAGACAGAAGTAAGTAGTGGAGCCTGATTTTGAGCCCAGACGGTCATGGCCCTCACTCTGGTGTCTAGTCAGATGTAGAAATGACTAGAGATGGGAAGAAACTAGGATAGTGTGTGTGTGTGTCATTCATATACATATGAATGACAGCCCTCTGGGGTGGGTTGGAGCCTATGGCCACTCAGGTGGCTCTGTCCTCAAGCCATGGGAGAGGCTTCTAATTTGCCAGACAAGATAAGTAGGAGATGATAAACCTGAAAGAGAACTGTACAGGCCAGTTGTCCCACGTTGGATGGCAGATGGCATAACAGCTCCATATGGGGAACAGAGGTGATGTATACAACCTCAGGCTCTGGGGCAGGCCTTGTACTTCCTGAGACCTGAGACTGCAGTGGCCCTCCTGACCTGTCTGATTTGTGTGTGGATGCAGTGGGCAAACCTATGGGCAGGACTCACTGTTGACAGAAGTCTGAGAAGTTTGGCTAACACTTAACCCTCACCAGCTCTGGCCCCGTGTAACCTGCATTGGGTGGGGAAGGAGCATGCCTCTCCTCTCAGCTCCCCAGATTTAGGACAGCACTGTGACGAGACAACAGTGGAGGTAAGGCGGGGATATGAGCCAGGCAGGGCACAAGCTGTCGATAGCTAGGCAGGGGTGGCCAGTGCTACAGCCCAGTGAGTAGGGGCCTTAGGCCTTTGGCTTGGCTGTCTTTGAGTTTGTGCTTTTGCTCCAGAACCTGTTAATCAAAAGTCACTTGTTAGGGGAGAGGACCTCTAAACTAGACAGACTTCTTAACTCTGTTCCTCAAATCCCAAAGAAGCATATCATACCTCTTTAAGTTAATGGTGCCCAGAGGTTGGGTTGAGTCCTGGGGTCACTATGCCACTCTATGCATGTCTGTCCTGCTGTTATATCTCTCTAGGGACCTGTGAACCTAGATACTGATGGATGTGGAACAGGCCCACCTGGGGACACACATCATTCTGCTATTATGCCCAAGCCCTCCTAAGGGTTCCTGGGGGTCTCAGGTCTCAGGAAGTACGTGGGATTTAGTGCATGGTTGTGATTCTCTGTGCTGCTGGGCAGCCACAGACTGCACCTGGCTCCTCATTGCCATTTTCCCTTTTTCCTTTTTCAAGGAATATTCCATCTGGCTGCTGCTTTCCAGCCCACCCTGTGTACCTCTGCTTCAGAGATGAGCCCCTCAGTGTTTGGACTTTGAGGCCCAAGCACCCACGCACAGCAGGCTTGGTTGTTACGGGACCTCGGTACCTTTCTATTCGAGGCTGGCACTCATCACCCCCCCTTAGTGATGACTCTGTGGTGGAGAAGTCCCTCAAATCCTTAAAGGACAAGAATAAGAAGCTGGAGGAAGGTGGCCCTGTGTACAGCCCACCAGCTGAGGTGGTGGTGAAGAAGTCTCTTGGGCAGAAGGTGTTGGATGAGCTGAAGCATTACTACCATGGCTTCCGTTTGCTCTGGATCGATACCAAGATTGCAGCACGCATGCTCTGGCGCATCCTCAACGGCCACACCCTGACCCGCCGGGAGCGCAGGCAGGTAAAGGGGACACACCAAGCTCTTGGCTTCACCCAGAGATTGCTTTCAAAACCTCGTTGGGACTTGCTTTCTGCTGCTTTGGGTGAGGAAAATATCAGTAAAACCTCTGAAACGGGGCTGGGGTTGTGGCTCAGTGGTAGAGTGCTTGTCTAGCATGTGATGCACTGGGTTCGATTCTTAGCACCACAAAAAAAATAAATAAGTAAAGGCACATTGATAGCTAAATATAAATCTACAAAAGTGGGGACATCCCCATAATACCACCATCGAATTGTGACACGACCTCAGTACCAGCACCCAGTTCCCTCCCAGTGCCTCCTTGCTGTTCCTTGAAAAGTCCACACTGTGTGGCTGTGGCTCTTCTCCCCCAGTGCCACGGTGTTCCTCTGGGGAAGTGTCTCTTTACTGATCGACATCTATGCAGGACTGTCAGAAGTCCTGCTGGCATTTACACCACTCCTGTAGTCCTGGCTCCAAGGAAGTTCTTCCTAAACAGGGCATGGTGGTGCATGTCTGTGGTCCCAGCTGCTCAGAAGGCTGAGATGGGGAGGATCACTTGAGCCCAACAGTTGGAGGCCAGACTCCCATTTCCAAAAAAACAAGATGGACACAGTGGTGCAAACCTGTAATTCATCAACTCCAGAGGCTGAGGCAAGAGGTTTGTAAGTCTGAGACTGACCTGGGCAACTTAGTAAACTTAGCAAGACTTTGTTTCAAAATAAAAGTTTCATAAAAGGCCTGGGGATGTAGCTCAGAGGTAGAACACCCCTGGGCTCAATTGCCACTACAAAAAAGGTTAAGACTCTTACCATTGTCACTCTTTTTTTTTTTGTTGTTCTGGGGATTAAACCCAGGGGTACTTTACCAATGAGCTACATCCCCAGCCCTTTTTATTTTGAGACAGGGTCTCACTAAGTTGCTTAAGGCTTTACTATTTGCCCAGGCTGGTCTAGAATTTGGGATCCTCCTGTCTCAGCCTCCCATGTCACTGGGATTATAGGCATGCAACTCTGTACCCTTTTCCTGTTGTCTATCTTTGTCTCTCAGGGCTGCCACCTAAATACTTCTTTTCTATCTTGTTCATTCTTTTTTCAGCTAAAATAATCTTTTAATGCATCTGTTAGTTTTCTTTTCAATGCTCATATTTTTACCTCTAGAAGTTCTATTAAGTTTTGAGTTTTTTGATTTTTTTAATTTATATATGATAGCAGAGTGCATTACAATTCTTATTACACATATAGAGCACAATTTTTCATATCTCTGGTTGTATACAAAGTATATTCACACCATTCACATCTTTATACATGTACTTTGGATGATAATGTCCATCTCTTGATAGGCTTTTGTTTATTTTTTTGTTTTTTTTGTTTTTAGTTCATCTTTTTAAGTCTTCAACAATTTAAAGTGTACTTATTTACAATTTTAAGTATACTTACATTTGTCTCCTGGCATGAATTCAGTATTTTCATTTTCTTACTTTTGTGGGAGATGAATCCTGCTCTTTATTGTGGACCTTGGCTACAGTGAATGATGTGTGTTTTGTGATTTCGAACTGTCAGTTCATCTGCAGCATGGTCTTGTCCATGGGAACCCTGTGCAGTCTGTGTGTTGAGTCAGCTTCTGCAGTGTGGATGTTGCATTCGCCCCTGTGGTGCAGTGGGAGCTGTGGGATCTTAGAGGCCATGGAGGGAGCCTGTGTGAGATCCCCCTCCAGGTACAGCTTCTCCTGCTTGCTCAGTCTTTCCTCCCAAGAGCACTTCATTGTTCCCAGCTTCTGGGAGTTCCCATTACCTTTTGTGGTCCCCACTATTTATTAATTTTTAAATAAACCTTTAACTTTGGGATGATTTTCGTCTATAGGGAAGTTGCAGAGATCCTGCAGAGTCCCAAATCATCTGCCCCAGCTCACCAAATGCTTGTCTTGGTAACTGGTCACAGCTCAGCCCCTTACTCCTGACCCAGGCTTGATTCTGTTTCCACTTTCTGGGCAACTTCCTTTCTCTGGTACAGGACCCCATGCTGCTCCTGAGGCCCTTCTGGTCTGGGATGGCCCTACAGTGGGGCACACTGGCTGGTGTCTGGTAGTGTAGACCCGGGGCTTGTCTTGCATTGTTTCCTGGTCAGCAAGTGCCTTTGTCACCTCCCACTAGGGTCAGTGAGATACCTCAGGGATCATTGGTCGTGTGGCCCAGATGACGTCTGCCTGGTGCCTCCTTGCATAGCACCCTCTGCCCTGAGGACCAAGGAAAGCAGGTCCAATCACTCAGCTCTGCCCCTGTGGCTGATACCCCCATGTGTGTCCAGCCTGGGCCCTGCCCCTATGCTGCTTACATCCCACTGCCCTATTGCTCTTTCCCCATGTGTGGTCTCAGAGATCCACTCGGAGCATGCATGTCTGAAACAAACCCCAGTCTTCCCCCTGCCCATTCCTGAATATCTCTTGGCGGCCTCCAGCTGCCATCAGTTCAGCATGGCAGCCCACCCTCGCTGGCACTTAGGCCAAAGCCTTGGCAGCTCCCAACACCTACATTGTTCTATAGCAGCCCTAGTCTGAGTGCTCCCCACCCCACCACCCATCCTGCCCGAAACTGTGGCCTACGAGCCCTGCAGTCTGTCTCCATGCTTTTACAACAACAGTCCTTTTAAAACAGAAGTAGGCAGGGTGTGGTGGTGTATGGCTGTAATCCCAGCGGCAGCTGGGGAGGCTGAGGCAAGAGAATAGCTAGTTCACAGCCAGCCTCAGCAATTTAGCAAGGCCCTAATAACTCAGTGAGGCCCTCTCTCTAAATAAAATATGGAAAGGGCTGGGGATGTGGCTTAATGGTTAAGTGTCCCTGGGTACAATCCCTATACCAAAAAAAATGGGAAGTGGGCTCAAGCTCAGTGCTCTGTGGGCCCCTTTCCCTGGTTGAAGCCAGAGCCTTCCCAGAAACTATCCTGCCACATGCTCCACCCTCGCCCTGACCCTGCTTCCTGTATTCTTCCTGTGTAGGCTTGCTGCCCCATAGCTAATTCTCGGTATGTCTTGGAGCCTTTGTGCCAACAGGCTCCACTCTGAAACCTCTCATGTGAAACACGAGACCACTCCAGATACACAGGACCTCAGGGCCTTCCACTGACAAGTGCAGCCAAGTGTCTGCATGTTCCTTCCCGTCCAGTTATCTCCAGCAGTTGGGCATTGGGCTTGCAGAAATAGAAAATGGTTTATGCCTGCAACTGAGGTGGGCATTTGTAAAATGATAACTGATAAGGATTTTGGGTATTTGTCAGCTGTGCGTCCACGTAGCAGGGGGGTCCTCATGAGCTTGGTGATACAACTTGGGGTGGGAGCTCAGGCACACAGACTCTTTCACCAGGAACCTGAGGCCTCTAGTCTTCTGGTGTGGGCATTTGGATGCCAGTAATTCTTCCTGGCCCTCCAGCAGGGTACAAGGGCAAGAAAAGGGATTTTGGTTTCTCAGTCCACTGGCACCTCCATATCTCATCTCCTTTGGAGTGTGTGTCCATGTATTGATTTGGAATATTTGTTCTCCTGTCTGCCTGTGATAGGAAATTAGCTTATTGTTTTAGGTCTCATGTTTGAATCCCATCCATGTTTTAGCAGTATCTTTGATCTTTTCTGAAAAACATGTATTTTTAAAATTGATACATAAGAGCAAAAATTATGCCTATTTAGGAAGTCCATGTGATGTTTCAATACACATACACATTGTATAATGTTTAAATCATCCTCTGCCTTTTTAAAGATAATTGTGCTTAAATGTGCCATATAGCAAGTACTTGTAATTCTGCTTTTGTGTTTATAAATGCTTAAAAAGTTATTTTATTGCTCTGTGTTTTGCAAAAAGTTTTCTTTTAAAAAAATATGCAAGCATTGTTTGAAATATATGTTCTGATGGATAAATTCAGCCCGTTCTAACTGGACATCAAGCATCTTGGTGTTAAAATGTGCCTGAAAGCGTGGGGTTTCAGAGGTGCTGTGACCCTGGCTTTAATTTTTGGCTGGCACCGGGCAGGCATAAGAGTGGGATGATCTCACAAACAGTTTTTTGTTGCCAATGTCTGTAGTGTGAGCCTGCAGGCACAGTGTTTCTGCAGCATCAGGGGTAGGAGAGCTTCCCCACCCTGACTTAGCATCCGGGCATTCCCTACAACCATGACCAAAAGGAAGGGACCAAGGTCAGGAGGCTGTGGCAGATGGGTTGCCCCTCTCCTCATGCCCAGTGGTGACTTGATCTCTCATAGAAACCCTTCTTCCAAAGCAGAGTGTTCGAGTTAATGGTTATGCCACAGGCCTTTTGTTCTTTGTGAAGTAAGTGAAGTCATAGTCCATGCTCTCTTTCCTTCTTTTTTCCAGTTCCTCTCTATTGAGCGTGTTCCCAGGTGTTAGCAGTGGCCCTAAACAACTTACTAAAATTAAGTTGAGACTTTACTAAGTTGCTTTAGAGCAGCCAAGGAAAGATGCAGAATTCCTTTGCTCGGACAGTCTGCCCAGAATTGGGCAACAAAGCCTTCCACAGTGAGCAGAGGAGCACTTTACCTGATGACCTTGGGAGTTGTTCCTGAAGAGAGTAATTCCAGCTTCTAATTCTATACTTCATTGAGAACAGAGGGTTTTGTTTTATTTTGTTTACCTGGCTGGAATTTTTCACAGGGTGCTAATTTGGAAGGGAGCAGAGGGATCATTTACAGGAGAGGGTCACACTAGAGCTTCAGAGCTACCCTGCTAGCATGTGTCAGGTGCTTAATGAGTAAGCCCTTGCTTTGTGGCCTGGCCCCCTCCATCTCCTCTACCTTCCCATTCTGCCTGAGTTCCAGTTTAGCTGTTTCACTGAAAAAGATGAGTCTTAAAGGAAAAAGAGGGGGAGGCACTTTGGAACAGCCACATAAAGACCAGACAGGTGTCAGCAGGAATGTGGGGCTGGGGGCCAGGTCCCCTGTGACTTGCACTAAGGAGAGGGTCTGTAGAGCCTGTCTGGATTTTCCTAGGATCTCATAGGTAATTTTGATTTGAGCAAAGTGTTATGGGTTTGTTTATTTATTTCTATGTGGTGCTGAGGATAAAACCCAGTGCCTCACATGTGCTAGGCAAGCACTCTGCCACAGAGCTACAGCCCCAGCCCCATGAACATTGTTTTAAGTGGAAGACATTTGAAGTGTGTGACTCACATGTCACTGTTGGGTACTTGCTCATAGTGTTGAGTAGAGGATAACAGATAAGCCTAGAGGGTCAGTATAGAATAGCTGCATTTGGGGAGTCATTTGGGACTCTGGTTTTGAGAACCAGGGCCTTACAGAGACCAGCAGGAAAAGGTGGGTTTCTGAGCCTCTAGGACACAAGTGACCATGCCAGAGCAGAACATGAGATGCTGTTCAAGCAGCTGCCTGGCAGCCACTACTGCACTTCCTGGCTCTGGAATTGAGGATTCTAGTTTCCTCCCATTAGTGGAATCACAAAATTTGACCTTGTGTCTAGCTTATCTCACCTAGCATTGAGCTCAGGGGCACTTGACTACTGGGCCACATCCCCAGCCCTATTTAGTATTTTAATTAGAGACAGGGTCTTACTGAATTACTTGGTGCCTTGCCATTGCTGAGGCTGGCTTTGAACTTGCGATACTCCTGCCTTAGCCTTCTAAGCCACTGGGATGATAGGCATGTGCCACTGCCCCCCCCCCCCTTTTTTTTTTTAACTACAGGGGATTGAACCCGGGATGCTTTGCCACTGAGCCGTATCCTCAACCTTAAATTTTTTTTATTCTGAGCCTAAAATTTAGTGAGTCTCAACTTAATTTTACTAAGTTGCTTAGGGCCTCAAACTTGGCAATCCTCCTGCTTCAGCCTTTTGAGCCACTAGGATTATTTTGCAGATGTATCATATCAGTTATTAGTTTTGAGCAGCTTTTGTAAAATTATCAGGAAAAGACACATTTTCATCAGGTGCTCTTTTGCATCAGATGATGCATCGTCTGCATCTGCATTAGATGATCAGATGATTTCCTGCTTTATCGTGAGGAGCTGCTCAGCTTGAGCAGGGTACACGCAGACTGGGAGCTCCCTCAAAATACACAACCCAAACAGACTGGAAGAAGTCAAGAACAGAGAAGGCACACTGGCTAGCCCTGGCCAGACAAAGAGGACTTCAGAGCAGCTGCACTGGGAGCAGGGAGGGAAGGTGTACCTCATTCCAGAAGCCAGGTGCAGAAGAGCTCAGTGTGCTGCACATACCTGGAATGTCCAGAGAGAATATGTCCATTTTGTAGAGCAAAATGGAGTTATCCTTGCTGAACACTTGGGGCTTTCTGGCATGTGAAAATATAAATCTGTGTTTGGGTGGTGGTTTCAATGGAATCTGTAAATTTACCACGAATCCCTGAGTTGTACACTTACAACTTGATGAATGCTGTGGTATGCAAATTTTACCTGAGTGGTAAAATACTGCTTTAACCCCAGTATTTAAAACTAATGGGGAATACCAAAAAAAAAAAAAAAAAAAAAGCAAAATCAAGACAAAATGAGTACCATCTTGAAGGATATGCCCCTGTCCAGACTGGGACAATTTGAGAGTGAGAGCAAGTGAAAAGATAAAGGAATCCATGAGTCTTTTTGAATAATAAAGAGCATGGGAGTGCAAGAAAGCAGGCTTCTCTCTGGCTTCAGGTGGCAGGTACAGAGATGGGGAAGAGCTCTGGAGCACCAGTGTGGGGAGGAGACCTATCTTTGTAAGCCTGGGGTGTCCCCCTCAGTGGCTGGCTCACAATGGAGCAGTCAATGTGTGTTCTATCAGAGATATTTTTTGGGCCTTTCATTGTCTCTCCATGACATGTGCCAAGTGTACCTGGCCTGTGAGATACCCCCATATACCACTTTCCGAAGACAATTGGCATGTAGATTTGGGTGGTGGTAGGGATGTGCTGTTTTGTTTTGTGGTGCTGGAGATTGAACCCAGAGCCTGCCTCATGCTAGGGCAGGTGCTCTACCACTGAGCTACATTCCTATTCCTTTTTATTTTATTTTGAGATGGGGTCTTGCTTAGGATGGAACTTGTGATCCTCCCACCTCAGCCTGCCACGAGTAGCTGGGATCACAAGCATGCTTGGCATGTGGTTTTGACTGTCAAGAAAGAAATGGGTTTCAGGAGATATCTGCTAAGTGGTTTTGGAACTTGGAGATCCTGAGCCAAAGCCCATGGTTGTCCTTGTAAGTGATGACAGAAATGCTCCCACTGTTTGCTCCTGCTCGCATCTTTCTCTGCCCCCGCTGATAGAGACCTCCTCTCTCCAGTTTCTCCGGATCTGTGCTGACCTCTTCAGACTGGTCCCTTTCCTGGTCTTCGTGGTGGTACCCTTTATGGAGTTTCTGCTGCCTGTGGCCGTGAAGCTCTTCCCCAACATGCTGCCATCCACCTTTGAGACCCAGTCCATCAAGGTGAGGACATCATGGTCATAAGCACGTTTAAAAATGAGTCTGAAGTTCCTCACCAGAGCCATGTTGCTTGTGACTATCACATGAGGATGAGGTGTCTTGTCATCCACAAAGGCTCAGGGTCCTCCATACCCTGTCATGTGTGTTCTGTCTGGGAGCCTCTGTGAGGCCCCTTTGAGTGAAGTGGTTGTGTTAGCTTCACTGTCTGGCAGTGAAGAACATGCCTGCCAACCCCTGCTCTAGGGAGTCACACAAAGATGTATATATTTTTAAAGCCATGAAATAGAAGAGATTGTTTCAGAATGTATTGCACTTAGATGAGAATAAGCATTGTTGTACGAAATGTGTATTAGAGCTTGGGGAGCTTGGGGGAGCCTGATGGAAGTGTGAGATGTTTGTTTTACAGGGGTGATGGCAGTTGGAGGAGGCTCCTGGAGCTGTGGCCTGGAGTAGAGGGAGCTGGTGGGATGTGGGAGGGCAGCGGGCCAGGTCAAGCCCAGCCCTTTCTCTGCCCAGCCCTCTCTCTGCCCTTGCAGGAGGAGAGGCTGAAGAAGGAGCTACGGGTCAAGCTGGAGCTGGCCAAGTTCCTACAAGACACGATTGAGGAGATGGCCCTGAAGAACAAGGCAGCCAAGGGAAACGCCACCAAAGACTTCTCTGCATTTTTCCAGAAGGTGCTGTGTGCCTCAGCCCCGTGGACTCTCCATCAGTCCAAGGCTAGGTGGAGCTGCAGAGCACTCCAGCCTTGGCAGCTGCTTCCTTCCTTTTGGCTACACTCAACAGAGCGGAGCTGCCAGGCAGTGCTGGCTGGTGCTTTAGGGAGTTTGACAAGGAGACTCTGCTGGTCTCCAGAATCACTTGTTCATGTCCTGGCTTTGCAGCACTCAGAGAAGGGAGAACATCATAGAGAAGGAACCCAAGACCTGAGATTATGGTATGGTGGGTAGTTTGGCTGAGCCACTCTGCCTGGTGCTATCTAGAGTCTTGTCAGAGCCTGGGTGACGGCAGCAGGAGCTGAAAAGGGAGAGGGAGTGCTATCGACAGGGTCTCTGGGGTCGAGCTTGAGAGATTTGTGTTGCTTTTTGAAGTCTGAAGACTGTCTGAAGCTAGGTGCCGTGGCGCACACCTATAATCCCAGCAGCTTGGAAGGCTGAGGCAGGGAGGATCACAAGTTCAAAGCCAGCCTCAGTAACTCAGTGAAACCCTGTCTCTAAATAAAATACAAAATAGGGCAAAAAGACTGTGTCTGAGGTTCTCAGAAAGCCTCCACCAGACAGTGTCATTGGGCTTTGGCCCTTGGTTATGTGTTGTTTGGTGCTTTGCACTGCAGCACAGAGGAGCAAAGTCTGCAGCTACAAAGGCAGAAATACCTGCTCTGTGGCCTTTACAGAAAAGTGTGCTCACCCCAGCGCAACCTTGGAGATGTCATCTTTGGGGAAGAGGCAGGTATAGCTATGGAACCGTTGAGTAGGTAGGTTCTGCAAGGAGCTGCAAGCAGCCGCGCTTTAGAGGCCCAGGAGAGGGTGGGGACAAGTGGGAGCTAGAAGGGAGGTGGGGCTTCTGGTGGGCTGCAGCTCCAGAGAAGGACCTGCCTGTGGTAGCCTGGGTTGAGGGATGCTGCATTTGGCCTTCCCCCTGGAGAACCCCTGAAACTGTTTCTAGGTGATATCCTGTGTGGCTCAGTCTGGGTCCTTTTGATCTGAGTCAAGCTCCTGGGGGTGCCAGGTCTGGCTGTTCTACTCCCTGACCTCTGTTGGGGACCAGCCCAGCTCACTCCTGATAGAGACTAAGCCTATCTGTTGTATGGGAGGAGGTGCGGGCCAGACTGGTCTGAACTGAGGTTCTCTGCTTCCTAGAGGGCAGGCACATGGATAGTAGCAGTCCAGGCTCAAGTGGCAGCCCATTCCCCTGTACTTGGACTCTCTCAGAGGGAAAAGCAGGTGCACAAAGCTGTGCCCTCTTCTCAGCACTGAGCAGCTGGGGTTCTGCATTAGGACCCAGGGCACTGCCTCTGCAATTGGTGGTTAGGTCCCCTTTCCCAGTGAATGGTGGCAGGAAAGGTACAGGGCCAGTAGTTGCCGTGTGTATCAGAATCCATGGCAGGCTCAGTTGACACTGAGTTCCTGAGGTGTGAGAGGCTCCCCATAGAAGTATGGTAAGAGGTGGGTGGTCCAGGGCCTCTGCACCCTGACCCCCCCCTTGGTTCTTCACTTCTGCTGTGTCCTGAGACTGGGGTGGGGACAGGAGAGCTCTTAGAACTTACCAAGTGGATAAGCCGTCTGGGTTGCTCCTGCTGCAGATCCGGGAGACAGGAGAAAGACCCAGCAATGAGGAAATCATGCGTTTTTCCAAATTGTTTGAGGATGAGCTGACTCTGGATAACCTCACACGACCGCAACTGGTGGCACTGTGCAGGCTGCTGGAACTCCAATCCATCGGCACCAACAACTTTCTGCGCTTCCAGCTCACCATGAGGCTAAGGTCCATAAAGGCTGATGACAAGGTGAGCCATGCCACAAGAAAGGCCATGCGGACTACTCTGCTTCTTTGGTTTCTTGCCTTTCTGTTCCTTTTTTTTTTTTTCTTTAACTGATGTATGTGTGTATATATATATATAAATGTAAAGGTTTAACAAATTTGTGGAGTGCCATGTGATGTTCAATACATACCTATTCTGCATGTTCATATGTTGGGGTATTGGGATAGCACCCAGGGCCTCAAGCATCTAGGCAAGTGCTTAAGTCACTGAGCTTTGTCCCCAGCCCTTTAAATATTTTTTTAAAATTTTGAGGCAGGTTGTCCAGGCTGGCTTTGAACGTGTGGTTCTCCTGCCTCTGTCCCTTGCCCTGGGCTGCACTGTGGCTTCCTACACGTTCCCAAGCCCTTCTCCTGGCTTCCCCCAGGACAGTCAGCAGGCCTGCCATTGTTTTGCAGAGGGTAGCTTTCCTCTGCAGCTTCCTTCGCAGGGTGTGCTCCCTGAGTGTACCTGCACCCACTGTGCGTCAGGCATCTTAGCCTCTCAACCACTGTGCTTGCTTCTGCTTTCAGGTCACTCATCCCTCATTCTCTCCCAGGTTGGCTCCACTCTAATACCCATTGTGTGACCTCTAACTTTCAACCATAGAAATTCTTTTTTTTTTTTCCAATTTTTTCTTTTTTGCAGTATTTATATTGATTGAACTTAGGGGTGCTCTGCCATTGAGCTATAACTTCACCCCTTCTATGTTGCTTTAGAGAGGCCACTAAGTTGCCCAGGCTAGCCTTGAACTTGTGATTCTCCTCCTCAGCCTCCTGAGTCACTAGGATTACAGGCGTGGCTACTGCACCTAGCTCGCTTTGTTTTCTTGAACACTCTAATCGCAGCTTATGAAGGTCCCACCTAGAGTGGGATGGGGACTGAAGCACATGTGGTGTGACTCTTAGGTTGAGGACAGGCAGCATTCCAAGCATCACTACTATGACTGGGAGAAGTAAAGGGAGGTGAGGTTTCTACACTCTACTTGAATCAGCAGGAGAGTGGATTGGGGTGTGTGCACTGTGATACTAGGGGACTGCTGAAAATGCTCCAGAAGTACAACTCGGGTGTCCCACAGGAGCACAGGGAACAGACAGAAGTGAAAACCAGCTTTAGTCACAGTAGACCAAGTGGACACAACCCAGGTAGGCGAATGGCTGAGCAGACTTCTCTGTCCATCTAGTGCCATGCTATTCGATGATTAGGAGGAGCTGTCTTGGGTGCCACAACAATTGGATGGGTCTGGAGGGAACTCTAGAAGCTGCCTGCATTATGATCCCCACATGCCTAACGTTCTTCAGATGACAGCCATGCAAGCAGGGGCTGTCTTGGGGTAGGGTGGCTTCTGTCCTATGATCCCCATGAACATGACATTCTTTAGTTGACAAGTGACAGCCATGCAAGTGAGGGCCCTCGAGGGGGTGGAGGTGACTTCATCCTGCCTGGAGCAGAATTGGATCCTGGCTAGAATGTTGTGTTGCTTTATAAACTGTTACCGCTAGGACTCCCAGGGAAGGCACGTGGGGTCATTGTTCTTTGTTAGAGCTACATGTGTATCTACAATGATCACAGAAAGTATGATTCTTACAATGGAGATAAAGTCGCTACCTAGGATGTTTATGAGGCAAACGCTGAGAAGGGGCTAGGGCTACCTGACGCAGACCAGGTGGGCCCTGAGAGCTGGCCTTGTGCCTTCTGTCTTCCCACCTGTTGCTTCCTATACTTCTCTGTGACTTGTGCAGCCTCAGGGTATGAAGCCACAGGTATCTTCAGGGTGTTGGGGTCTCTCCTCCCTCCATCCTGTGAACACTGAGAATGCCTTTGCAGATCGCGGGCTCTGTGAATCAGGCCAGGGCAGGACAGGTTCTGCTGGCAAGACGTGGGCCCTGCCACACGGAAGAGGTGCCCGCGTGTTGAGAGTGCCTACTCCCTGCGTGGGCCCAGGTCGAGGTGGATCTCTCTGTGTCTCTCGGTTAATCTTGGCCATTCTGTGTTCCCTGGGCCCTGGCCATCCTTCTAGTCACTTCAGACCCAGAACCAGGCTCTGGTGTGATGCTCTTTCTTTTGCTTGGCAAAAGCTCTTAGAAAAATGGCCTCTGACTTGACAGTTCTTTTCTAGTCGTGTTAACAGCAGCACCACAAACCTTGTACAATGGTGACTGGCTGGTGTTCTCTTACAGCTGATTGCTGAGGAAGGGGTGGACAGCCTGAACGTCAAGGAACTGCAGGCAGCGTGTCGGGCGCGAGGCATGCGGGCCCTTGGCGTCACAGAAGACCGTTTGCGGGGCCAGTTGAAGCAGGTGCGTGGCCTGGGGCCCAAGTTCCAGGAGGAGCTCGCTTTTCACCCAGACCAGAATAGGCCTGTTGTGGGAAGCTTCAAGAGTGAAAAACTACTGAGGCTGGGGTGTGGCTCAGTGGGGGAGTGCTTGCCTGGCATGTTCAAGGCCCTCTAAGACTCGCTTGGGCCTTTGCCATCCTCTGGGCTGTCAAGCAGGCCTGGTGAGGTGGCACTGTAACCCAAGGGGGTGCCTGGGCCAGTCCAGGACTGCTTACTGGCCTTCTAGTCCTGCTGTCATGCAGTATGAGTGTCCTCAATTTTGGTGGCCTGTTGAGTGTGGCTTTGATTGTTTCAGCTTGCTCCTGTCACCTGAAGGCCAGTGAGCACAGGTGGCCTCCTTGGACAGCTCTGGGGCATGTTCACACTTCGTGATGGCTCAGCTGAGCCTGGGAAGTTCTGGGAAACATGCTCTCTAATCTGGCTCTGATGCCCTTGGCTGGGCAACTCTGAACAGGTGTCTGGTACACAGTGGGCTCCTACATTTGGATTTCAGTGCACTCTGCCTCCTGCAGCAGCTCAAGGGGCCCTCCAGCAGAAATCCCAGTGTCAGGTCTTTGGTGCTCAGTGCCATTGGATCAAGTGACTGTACAGGGGGTAGGGGACATTTGTCCTTTGCTTCAGAAGGCCTAGGATGCAAGGCTCAGACCCAATCTCCCTCCAGCTCTGTTCCACGATGACAGCTTCTTGGCTGTCATCCCCCTGCTGGTTTTCAGGCATTCCTTCTTCAATGTAGATGAAGAGGCATGCACACCTACCTCCCCTCTTGACGTAAATGGCGTTTCCTAGGCAGTACCTTCTCACCAGATGCATGGCTCCCCAGCAGAACTCCTGTCTGGTAGTGGGCCCACCCTGCATGTGCTGGCCATTTCTGGTGGTCTTCAGCCTTCTGCAGCACAGCTGCCTGGAGCCATTCGGGTGGGGTGCTGTGTGTGTATTCCCTGCCCAGGCTCCTCAGTGTGGTCCATGAGGCTATAGCATGTTTTGGGGTCAGGGCTCTCCCTTGCCTCTGTTCAGTGTTTTCATCCTGTTCTTAGCATTTTGTCTTATCTTTCTCTGTGTGTTCAGTTTGTGTCCAAATGTCAGTCACTGAAGTAGCCCGACACAGTGCCCAGCCTGTGGCAGGCCTACACACACATGAGTGGGGTCAGTCTCTGCTCCTGCATGAGTGGGGAGGTTCTCAGTAATTCCATCTTTGCTGCTCTGCTATTTCTAAATGCAGAGAGTGCTGACTGTTCTTTTTTTAAAAAAAAAAAAAACCATCAAATTGTGTACTTTATTTTTATGTGGTGCTGAGAACGAACCCAGTTCCTCGCACCTGCCAAGCAAGCATTATACATACCACTGAGCCACAATCCCAGCCTGTTGACTGTTCTTAAGTCCTGGTGATTGAGCTGCAGAGCTGTTGATGGCCCTGGGGCTTGTGCCTTCAGTTTACCAGGGTGGTCAAGTTCCAAGGTAGCACAACAAATGACCTTTTGAAACATGGAATGTCATCTTTGGAGCATTTGTTACAGTGACTTAATGAATCCATCTACTCAAGCCCTGTTTTGCTTGTTGCTGCCAAACCATAGCAGCAGAGTAAAGCTTGGGGACTGAAGGATCTGGGCCCTTCACAAGAGAACAGGATAGGGCCAGGGGTCAGGTGGGATGGAGGCTACACCAACAAGCCTGTTCTGATCCCAGTGGCTGGACCTGCACCTGCACCACGAGATCCCCACGTCACTGCTCATCCTGTCCCGAGCCATGTACCTCCCAGACACTCTCTCGCCTGCTGACCAGCTCAAATCCACACTGCAAACCCTCCCGGAAATTGTGGTATGTGCTCTTGGGAGACCCTGTTTGTCAGTTCACTTGGGGGGCGGGCACTCATCTTCTAAGCCACGGAAGCCTTCCATGCAGGAACCTGCAGGTCCACCTGTTCTCGCCTCATCACTTGTCTGCCTGCCCCCACCCCCACCCACCACACCTGGCTTGGGATAAGCCAGTCTTGGGCACACTGAGTAGTCCTGATCTTGCCACAGTTGGCTGGAGGCAACAGTTTTGAAAGGCTTCCTTGAGTCTTGGTAATGGTGCCTGTGTCCATATTTTTTCTGAATATGGAGTGGTCCTCTGAAAGGTGCAGGAGGTGATACTTGGTAGCCTTGTACATTCCCAGCACTGGTGGCAATGTTTCAGTGTGCCTTCCATCACTTCTGTGGAGTTCAGATGATGATGTTGCTGGGAGATACAGAGAGGCCTGGGACAGTGTGCACTCTGCAGCCCTGGGACTCACTCACAAGTGCCCTTCTTCTCTGAAGGCAAAGGAAGCCCAGATGAAGGTGGCAGAGGTGGAGGGTGAGCAGGTGGACAACAAAGCAAAACTGGAGGCCACGCTGCAGGAAGAGGCCGCCATCCAGCAGGAGCACCGGGAGAAGGAACTGCAGAGGGCCGCAGAGGCAGCAGTAAGCACTGGCCAGGACCCACCACTGGGGGCTGTGGCTGTCCTGGTCCAGCTTCCCTGGAAACCCCTTCATGTCCTTGCTTGTCTTCTGAAGTAGTCAGGGAACTGCAGGGAGGCCCACTCAGCACCGGCAGAGGGTCATTGTGGAACCCACCTTCTCAGGGTGCTGGCCTTGGGCAGAGACCAAATTTGTTTTCCCTGGACTCAGAGGCTGCAGGAAGATGCACTGTGACAAGGGCTTGGGATGTTCTGGGTTGTTCATCACCCACCCACAGGCAGCCTCCTGCTCTATAAGTGTTGAGCACCATGGAAAGGTAGTGAGGAAAGACCAATACAGAACAAGGCACTCTGACCACCCTGTTGAGGGGCCTCAGGTGCCTTGCTCAGACTTCAGCAGGTAGTCTGCTGCTGGTTAATGGCTCTTGGGTCTCCACTGTGACCTAATGGACTCGTTCTGAGTTTGGCCTCTGTTAGTAGCATATGCATGCAAGAGTGCTGGTGTGACAGCAAGGTTCTTCCTGTGATTCTTCTAGAAGGACATTGAGCTGGAAGGAGTGGAAGCTGCCACCCCTGGGAGGCCAGTGGTTGAGCCAAAGCCAGAGGTGCCTGATGTGATCCTGCCTGCAGAGGCCCTGAAGGATATTGCTCCAGTGCTAGAGGGTGTGAAGGTAAGAGGCATGCTCCATCCAGGAGGGGAGGAGGCCAGAGGGTAAGGATAAGGCCTTAGGTGTGTCAGCCTGCCTGGCAGCAGGAAGGGGAATGAAGGCTGACCCCTCAAGGCAGGACTTTCTCCACAGGCCAACATGGTGTCATCTCCTGGGTGACCTGGGTGGGGGGCTCCTTGGGAACCAGCTGCCAACTGGGGACACAGACATCCCCGGGGACCCATGCCAGGTGGCCTGGGATGCCATCCATTGTTTTCTCTTCTGAGCTCCTGGAGGACCCCATGTATAGAAAGAAGCAGATTCTAGGATGTGTTTCCTGGGCATTTGGCTGCTGGTGGGGGTTTTGTGTCTAGGGAGGTCTTAGCGTGAGGCTCCGAAGAAGCCTTAAGCACATGTGTCTGGAGAGAATGGGGTGGCAGATCTGAGTTTGGGGCTGAGAGGGAAGTACCCAGGAGGTGGCTGTCCCTTTGACAAAGACAAAGGTGAGGCCTGAGTGCTGCCTCTGGTGGACAGGGGCCTTGGAGGACCAGGGAGGACAGCCCCATACTCAGGCCTATGAGGTAGGATAGGTCTAGTTTTGTGTTCCTGTGAGAAGAAGTGTCTAAAGAAGAGAAAGTATCTGAAACTGACTTGTGTTTGGGGGGCTTTTGCAGTGATGAGCCTTGAGTCCCAGTCACTGAATTGAGAAGGGTTGCATGGGGCAGGGCTGACCAGAGCCTTGTAGGGGCTCCTTGTGGCACTAACCTGACTTGGGATAATCCAGGAGGAGGTGAAACTCTAGGGCTAAAGGCCTAGGGAAAGCAGGTGTCTCCTGCTGACCCAGGAAACTCTGAAATTAACATGTGACACCATCAAGGGAGAGTTCACAGCAGGAGTAGACATTCTAGGGAATCAGGGCTCAAGTGTGACCCCACGAAGGTGGGCCTCAGGCATTCCTGCAGAAGGTGTTAAGGTGAGATATAACTGTTTCATTTTTAAGGGATGTAGGACTGGGCTAGGCCTAGCAAAACAGGCAGGGCCTGGCCAATCAGCAAATAGGGCAAGACAAGGCTGGCCTCATAGAACACATGAATCCTGTTTTCAACGGGTTAAAGACTAGGCTAGGGGCTGGGTTTGTGGCTCAGCAATAGAGTGCTCGCCTAGCACGGGCAGGACCTGGGTTCAATTCTCAGCATCACATAAAAATAAAGGCATTGTGTTGTGTCCATCTATACCTAAAAAAATAAATATAAAAAAAAAAAAAAAAAAGACTAGGCTATAAGGAAGTTTAGAAATCTCAGGAGATGCCTCACATGCACAAGGTCCTGGGTTCAATCCCCAGCACCACCAAAAAAAAGAAAGAAAGAAAGAAATCTCAGGAGAACTAACAGAACTAATATATGAAGAATCATCAAGAATGTCTTAGAAACCCAGACTTTTGGACTGGTATAGCAGTGGTACAGCATTTGCCTAGCACATGTGAGGCACCGGGTTCAATCCTCAGCACTACATACAAATACATACATAAAATAAAGGTATTATGTCCATCTACAACTAAAAAAAAACCTTTTTTTTTTTTTTTTTTTTTTTTAATTTTAAAAAATTTTGAAGAGTGCCCAGCCCCCATGGACTGGTACAGCCTATGGTTGCCAAGTGCCATTGTTGATGAGATTGATGGCCTGAGCAGCCCCAAGACCAGGGAGGACATGAGCCTATAGTTGAAACTCTTTCCCCAAAGGACCCCCTCAGGCCCGCATGGCTTCACAGGGGTCACTAGTGCATCAAAATCAGGCAGGCACAGTGGCACACATCTGTAATCCCAGTGGCTTGGGAACCTGGGTCAGGAAGATCACGAGTTCAAAGCCATCCTTAGCAAAAGTGAGGCACTAAGCAACTCAATGAGACCCTGTCTCTAAATAAAATACAAAATAGGGCTGAGGATGTAGCTCAGTGGTCCAGTGCCCCTGAGTTCAATTTTCAGTACCCAAAAAAGAAACAGATGGTCCCAGTGCTGAGGAACTTTTGACAGAATAGGGAACATTCCCCAAGTCATGTCATGAAGCATCACCTTGTATCAAACCAGAATCATGTAAGAAAAATTATAGGCTGCTGTCTTTTATGAACATAGATGCAGAAATTCTTAGCAAAATATAATTCTTAACAAAGTGTTTAGCAAATCAAATGCAATTATTCTACAGAAGGGATTGTGGCCACATGGAATCTGCCCAGGGAATACAGATTGGCTTAATGTTTTAATAAGATAAGCAGTCTTTAATCATATTATGATTCTGTCAGGCCTCTTCAAGAATGCTCGTCAGCATGCAGTGTGATCAATAGATGCCGAGCAGGAGGAGAGGGATGCCACTGCACATCTGCCACCAGCAACTCCCCAGCACTGGGGCATTGCCAGGACTGCTGCCCTTCACCCTCCTCCTCAGTATTGTAGCCAGGGCATTAGGGAAGGAAAGCACATTATAACCAGATAGTTGGGGCCAGGCATGGTGGCCAGATCGGTGATCCCAGCTACTTGAGCCTGAGACAGGAGGGTTGCAAGTTCAAAGCCATCCTGGGCCACATAGTGAGACCCTATCTCAAAATAAAATAGAAACGGCTGGGACAGAACTAGGGAGATGCGACACTAGACTCAGTGTTGCTGAGATGCAGATCCTCCTTCAGCTGTTTTGGAAATTCCTCCAGACCATCAAAACACAGCAGACGGCTAGGGCTCATTGGTAGAACGCTTGCCTAGCATGTGTGAGGCACTGGGTTTGAGTCTTCAGCACTGTATATAAATAAAATAAAGGTCTATCGACAACTAAAAAAATATTTAAAAAAAAAACAAGCAGAACCTTCTATTGAAGTTGACAAACTTTTCTAAATTTATGGAGAGAGTCAAAGGATCTAAAATACCTAAGACATCCTTGTGAAATAGCAAAAGTAAGAGGAACATCTATCTACTAGATCCCAGTGTTACAGAGCTGGGGCCTTCTGAGAAACAGAATCCCCAGTTTTCACGATCAAGTCAGAAAGATTTCAGACAAGTCACTCAGATGAGCAGGAGTTACTCTGAGTTTATTGAAGGGATAAGAAGAGGGAAAAGAGACACTCTGAAGGGAGAGAGTGAGTGTCTCAGAGAGGAGAGAGGTAGCATACCTCTCATACACTCCAGTTTTATTGGGATCCCAGGGATGTTGCCAAAGAGTCCCACTTTTGACTGATAGCAGGATGACATCAGACTCTCAAGTACCCACTGTCATGGCACCTCTAGGTTACCTTGGCCCAAGCTGACTGGTTCTAATTGGATTCTTTTTTATTTGTATTCTGTACTGAGAATTGAACCCAGTGCCTCACACATGCTTGGCAAGTGCTCTACCACTGAGCCACTACTCGACCCTAATTGGATTTTTTTTTTTTTTTTTGGTAGTTGTAGATAAACAGAATGCCTTTATTGTTTTATTTGTTTATTTTGTGTAGTGCTATTGAACCCATTATCTCACATGTGCTAGGCAAGCACTCTACCACTGAGGTACAGCCCCAGCCCTTTAACTGGATTCTTAACCATACATTCTTTTTTTTTTTTTTTTTTTTTAACGTTTATTTTTTAGTTATAGGTGAACACAATACCTTTATTTTTATGTGGTGCTGAGGATCGAACCCAGTGCCTCAGGCATGCTAGGCTAGCACTCTACCTCTGAGCTACAACCCCAGCCCTTAACCATACATTCTTATAGATTTTGTGGTTAGGAGAAACTACTCTTATCTCCCAGTTTCAAGTTTTGGTCACAAAATCTTCCCCTTTGGGAAAACTTGGGTTCCTCTTATCAACATTATTTTGGGCCTGCATTTCTCTTGCAGTTAACATGTAGTTTGCTGAGAAATGTGACATAGCTTGTTCATTTCGGCCAGGCAGGGCTGCAGGTAAATTGCTTCATAGAAAAGAGAGTACGTGGGAGGTCAGCACAGTGGGCTGACTTGTATTAACCTTGTATTCCCACTCACATATAATTGTCCCCTTAACCTTAACCTTGTATTCCCACTCATCTATAATTATCCCCTAACACCAAGACTTACTAAAGCCTCAGTTATCAAGAGGTGTGGTGGGGCCAGCCCGTGGCTCAGTGGGAGCACACCTGCTAGCATGCATGAAGCCGCAGGTTCCCTCTCCAGCACCACCACACATGAAAAGGTGTGATGTTGCGGGTAAAGAGATAGGCCCAATGGAAAAGAAGTAAGCACCTAGACAGACAGGGTCAGTAGGTTTTCTACAAAGGTGCCAAGATGGTGTAGTAGGGAAAGGGAAATCTTTCAGCAAATTGTGCTGGAACAGTAGATAGCCATATGCAAAAAATTGACCCTTGACCCTTATATAACTCACACAGTGTATAAAAATTAGAAAGGATTATAAAAACTCCACGAAGGAAACATGGGAGAATATTTTAGTGATATTAGATTTACCAGTAGATAAAGTACAACAAAAAAATATGATAAAGGTGAGAAAAAAAATCAATATATTTATCTATCAATATTGGAGACTTTTGCTTCAAGAAATACTTAAGAAAGTGAAAAGATCAGCCATGGACAGTGTGAGATATTTGTAAAACATTTACCTGACAAGGACTTGTTTCTAGAATATATAAAAAACAAATAATTTTATTTCAGAAGTGGGCAAAAGATTTGAAGACACTTGACCAAAGAAGACATGCAGCTAGCCAGTTAAGCACCTGAAGTGCTTCATTCACCACCAGTGAAAGGAGAAGCACATTGAGATGCCACCACACCCCTATTAGCACAACCAGAGTTGGAGTCAGACTGGTTGGGGATGGAGCTCAGTGGTAGACAATTTGCCCAGAAAGCAGAGGCCCTGGGTTCCATCTCCAGCACTGTGGGGGAAGACAAAACTGGCCTGTCCCAATCCTGTGTTGGTGAGGATGTGGAGGAGTTGTACCACTTTGGAAACTACTTTGATAGTTTCCTAAAAAGACAAACCTACACCACACCAATTACCAGCCTTTCCATTCCTAGGCATTTTCCCACAGGAGCCTGAACCTGAGCGTTCAGAGCAGCTTTATTTGTAATCACTAAGCTTAGGAAACAAAGCACATGTCTCTCAGTAGGTCAGTACACTAACAAGCTTTGGTCTAGCTGCTCGGGTTAAAAGCACACTGACACCACATGATGACTCAGAACGAGTCAGAGAGGAGGACGTGCTGGCGACTGCTCTTATATAAAACCCTGGAGATATAGGCTGACTTATTGGGCATGAGGAGGATTAAAGTCCTGGGGAGGCCAGCCAGTATTAGGCTGACCAGCATGTTCACTGTCCAGTGGTGTGCGCTTCATAGGTACACGTATGGGTCACGCTGAATGTGCCTGATGACACGCTCAGGCCAGTGTAGCCCCACCTGGGCTCCATCTCAGTTGAGACTACCCCAGGTAATGGCCCATAAGGTGCAAACTCCCCACAGAGGAGCCACTGTGTCCCTTCACTTAAACCTGTTTTGCTTTTTTCCTAGGAAGAGGAAATAACTCAGGAAGAAATTGATGTCCTCAGTGACGCTTGCTCCAAGCTGCAGGAGCAGAAGTCCTCTCTGACCAAGGAAAAGGAGGAGCTGGAGCTGCTGAAGGAGGACGTCCAGGACTACAATGAGGTGGACAGGATGGGTGGACGGGCGGGGCAGCTGCTCCCTGGTGACATCAGGGGTGGGTAGTGTTTGCTGCTAAGGCTGAGACTGAAATAATAGCTTTATCAGCCAAAAGATTTAATGATATCTGTCAAAGATGTGATAAGGGAAATTTCAGAGGGAATCTGGAGAGAAACCCAAACTAAAAATCAGTTTTATTCCAGAGCTTTTCCACGGCTGCTGTAGGGGCCACTGTCTGCGTGAATGTAGCCTTGCCAAGTCTGAACATGAAGGTGTCACATGGCCACTTGGCCCCTCGACAGGCAGAACCGTAATTTCATTCACAACTCCCCCCAAAGAGAGTGGAGCCCAGGGTGCTCTACCACTGAGCCACATCCCCAGACCTCTTTTTATTTTGTATTTTTGAGACAGACACTCTGGCCTTGTGTTGCTGGGATCACAGGTGTGCACCCGGCACCCAGTTGACGGTTTTCTTTTCTTAGATGGTGGTTCTTTTTCCCTCTTCCTTTTATGGTGCTCGGGATCAAACTCAAGGCTACCAAGTGCTCTACCACCGAGCAACATCCTTCATCAACTAGTGATTGGTTTATAGATATTACTTTCTAATCTGATATAAAAGAATTATTTTCACAGCTTCATTGGGAAAGGTAACAAGTTTGGAGATTAGTAAAAACCAATTTGCCATTTGGGAGCATCGTCCCTCTGGGGGGCTTCTCCATGGGAACCATGCATCTGTCACTGGGTGAGATGGTGTCTTGTTCCCACTCCTCTTCGCTCCTGTCCCTCCTTGGGGGGCACTGAATTAGAATTTCAGGGGGAAACACTTACGTTTCCTCAATGCTTCATTTCTTTATTCTTCAGCAAATATGAAGGAAGATGAGTTTCAAAAAATAAGAACCAGCCAGATGCGGTGGCACACTCCTGTAATCCCAGCGGCTCAGGAGGCTGAGGCAGGAGGATTGCAAGTGCAAAATCCCAGCCTCATCAAAAATGAGGCGCTAACCAACTTACTCAGTGAGACCCTGTCTCTAAATTTAAAAAATATAACATCGGGGTAGGGATGTGGCTCAGTGATTGAGTGCCCCTGAGTTCAATCCCTGGTTTTTAAAAAAAAAAAAAAAAAATTATTTGATTGGTAGGAAGGAATAAGATTTTGCAACTTTCTGTTGTTGGAATGAATGCATTTTTGGAGGAGTTGGTATTTATTTTTTCAGTGCTAGGGATCAAATTCGTTGTCTCAGTGCTAGGCAGGTGCTCTACCATGGACCTACACCCCTAGCCCAAATGAATGGGTTTAATAACTTTTTCAAGTTAAATTTAATATAAGATCCCCACTTTTTTATTTATTTTGTACTGATTTTAACCCAGGGGTATTTTACCACTGAGCTACTTTCCAGCCCTTTTAATGTTTTGAGATAAGACCTCACTAAGTTGCTGGGCCTGCCCTGGAACTTATAACCCTCCTCCCTCAGCCTACTGAGTCGCCTGGACCACACAGGCGTCACCATCGTGCCCAGCTCCCGCCCCCACCGGCCTTAAAGATAGACTTTATAACTGCAAATAATTTTTTTAGGACTTGCAAGAGATTAAGAAGGAGCTTTCTAAGACCGGTGAAGAAAAATTAGTGGAAGAATCTAAAGCCAGCAAGAGACTAACAAAGCGCGTGCAGCAGATGATTGGGCAGATCGATGGCCTGATTGCACAGCTGGAGATGGGTCAGCAGGCCGGCAAGCTGGGCCCTGCCCAGGGCTCAGCTGTGGGGTAAGTGGGCATGAACAGAAGAGGCTTCTGGGCCCAGGGAAGCCAAGCCTGCAGCTGACAGGCACTTTGCCATGATCTGTGCTCTGCTCTGTCCTTTCTGACTCCAGAGTGTACATCTTGGCTCTGCCTGATATCACCTGGGAGCTGGGGTCCACTCTGGGGGCATCTTTGCTCATAGTTTTTTCTTTCACACCTGAGTTTTTACATTCTGATGCTGTTTCACCTGGGTAGCTTACTCCTGGACCTGTTTGTTACCTCCCTGCTAAAGTCCCCCTACTGCCCTCCCCAGCATTACCCTTCATAGTCCAGCCTCAGCCCCATTTGGTTCCTGTTTGCCCAAACAGTCAAGCTCTCTCCTGCCTCCTCCCTCTCCCTGACCCCCACACTCAAGGGATGCCATCATGGGGCTGTCTGTCTTGTACCACAGTGTATTCCAGATTCCCGCAGCCGCAGCTGTGCTTGTGTGTGTGTCTTGCTACCATCTAGACCACAGACCCTGCGATGCAGCAGGCTGGTAGCTGGGACACATCCCCGAACCCAGAGGCTCATCAACCTTTTGTCCTTGTGGCAGACAGGGGCCCAAGGACCCAGTGGTCCTGTTCCAGGCATGCACTCCAGGGTCATGCACCCCAAGGAAAGGGTGGGGCTCTTGGCAGGGTGTGAGGAGTCTCACTATCAGAGGTCTTTCCTGTCCACCAATTCACACGTGGCCATCAGAGTCAGGGCTAAGAGTCGGAGCTGGGTGTGGCTGTGAGGTTCCAAGGGCCGGGCAAGATGGTGGCCACATGCAGGCTGTGCTTCCCAGGGAGAATGTTGTCAGCGTCACTGAGCTCATCAGCGCCATGAAGCAAATCAAGCACATTCCAGAAAGCAAGCTGGTGAGCTTGGCCTCAGCACTGGATGAAAACAAGGATGGCAAGGTCAACATCGATGACCTCGTCAAGGTGGGTCTCAGTGGGACTGAATCGGGGAGGCTGGCTGGCTGCTCTTCTGCTCCAACGTCCACAAGTCCAGGGAGGGGCTGCTTTTGGGGGCTGTCAGGAGGTGGGGTCCCTCAGGCCTTGGCATAGGAAGTGAGTTGCCAGAGGTAGAAAGTGCTGATGAAACAGCAAGATGGACCCTCCTGAAGGCCCTGAGGTCGCCTGTCATGACCGTGACTTGGCTGGCTCTGACAGGTAGCAGCGTCCAGGTCCAGGAGAGGGTATTGAGAAGGCCCCTTTAGAGCAGGCCACCTGCCGTGCCTGTGGGACCCTGGGCCTGGCTGGGCTTTGGTGCATGGGGCAGCCAGGAGCTAATCCTAGAGAAGGACACCAGCCACATTCCAGGCTGGCAGTGTCTGCCTTTCTTGCTCCAGCCACAGTGTGGAGCTTGCACCTGTGGCAAACAGGGTAGTGGGGCTGAGTACACCCGTCTGGGGTTGCCTGAGGCCTGAGAGGTGACAACAGGTGGGCCCCAGGTCAGCCCTGGAGACCTGGATGGGAAGTCTGGGTTCTCATCTGAGGGGTGAGACTTAATCATTTCTGCTTCTGAAAAAACACTGCCTTCATGGTCCTGGTGCACCTGGCAAGGTAGTGATTTTTCAAACATAACCATAGACATTGCCGAGTTTCTTTTACTTCCATTTAAAAGCAAGGCACTGTCAGACTTACATGCTAAGCACCGTCCCTCCTTCCCTCCTCAGTCTTCAGAGCAGAAGGGCATGTGCCCCAACCTAGCACCCTGTGTCCTGGGGAAGCCCCATGCAGGGCAGGCCCCCAGCAGTATGGTGGGGCCTCGCTGGCCAGGGCAGGGCTTGATGCCAGCAGCCTTGCTCTGCTCTCTGGCTCCCCGGGGAACCCTGGTGCTCTGGGGCCCTGGCATGCTGTGCAGCAAGTAGGTTCCAAACCAGAAGATGGCCTAGAGCAGGGGTGCTCCCACCCGTGCTGTGCAAGAGCAGGCAGCCCCTCTGAGCCCTCTCGTGTGCACAGGTTATCGAGCTGGTGGATAAAGAAGATGTCCACATCTCCACTAGCCAGGTGGCTGAGATTGTGGCCGTGCTGGAGAAGGAGGAGAAGGTGGAAGAGAAGGAGAAGGCCAAGGGCAAGGCTGAGAAGGAGGCTGCAGAGGTGAAGAACTAAGGGAGGTGCCCAGCTCACGCACAGCCCCGTGGGCGTCCTCTTCCTCCCGCACCGCTGCGGTGGGATGATGTGAGAGTGATTGCTTTGAGGTGATCTTAGTGGCAGATCTAATATTTTGTCTGGAATAAATCAGAAACTTCTGTAATCAAGTAATTTTTAATTTTCATCATTCCATGAAGATTAAGTCAGTCTGCAATCTGGGAGCCTCCAGGGAGTTGTGTCTGGACTCACCTAGTGTAGTACTCAGTGGCCCCACAGAGGCCACCGACAGTCGCAGCAGGGGAGCCTCCCGGCACGTGCCTGTGCCATCTCAGGGCCTGACCTGTGCTCTCTGTTCCCTGAGAGTGAGGACCACGTGGACTCCCCACGCCCAAGTGGAACTGGGCAGGTGCACCTCATGTTCTCAGAGGTGCTGGGCAAGAATCAGACGCGAGCACAGCCCTCCTCAGCTCTGAAGATCCTTCAGCTGGTCTGTGAACTTTGATTCCTAAAAATCTGTGTAAATAGATCGTCTGTTCCCACATTTTCAAAGTCATCTTTGTGTGACTCTTCTCGACAGAAGCGTCTGTGACTTCAGTGGCCTCTGGAAGTAGCACCTCTCCTGACAGTAGTGTCCATGTCTTGAGTGGATCCTGGGGTGTGTTTCCTGAGCTCGCTCTTGATTCACCTTCGGTCTTCCCCGTCCTTAACTGACTAGTACAGGATCTCTGCACTTGAGAGTCTGACTCAGGAGTAACATCCAGAATGAACTGCGGGGGAGACACACCAGTGCAGCCCTTGAGAAGGAATCATTTGCTAGGTGATTGCCACACTGTTGGGGTCCAAGGGTTAGGCCTTCACCACAGCCTGGCTGGAGCAGGTTCTCTGGGAGCACATGTGGGACCCTTGATGGCTTCCCTTGTGGAACAAACCCTGCCCACTGGAGGACGTGGCTGGAGGGGCCATCGCCCACAGCTGGCCTCCTGGGCCAGGGCACCCAGATGGTCTCTGCCCTTCAGCCTTTACATGGCCCCACCAAGTCCTATGAAGGTGGTCATGTGAGTGAGCAGTGGCATCTTGAGGGGCTTGCAGTGTGCCCCCCATGTACTTAGGGGCGGGGTGGTGTCTCCGGGGCTCTGGTGGCCAGCAGCCTCTTCACACTTGGTGGCCCTGTCGGGGACAGTTCCATGTGGAACTCAGGCCAGAGCTGGGTGTCCTGTGGCCTCTCCACCTTCCTGCTCCCCCAACAGCTGCACTTGTCCTTTGAGGCTGTGTGTTGCCAGCAAGAGTGTCCTTCTGGAGGGCTCCAGACATAGGACCCATGAAGCCAAGCTAGCCAGGGAGGGGGTTGCAGCACTCGGAGATGTCAGTTTCTCAGTTACTTGGCTTTTTCCTTGGCCTTTAAAGAAGAAACTTGACAGAATAGGAATCCAATTGTACAGTCTCACCTGGAGACACAGTCAGAAGCCATGGGGCTCTGAAGGGCTTGTTTTCAGACGTTGGAGAAGGGAGTGTTTTAGCCTTGGAGTGATCTTTATGAGTCACCTGCCCACACTCCAGCAGCCTCTGAGCTGTCAGTGTCTTTCCTGTGAGCAGCACTATGGGCCCATCAGCTGTATCCTCGTCCTGCGTGGCTTTGCCAGTATTGTCATCCCCTCTGCTCTGGAGTCTGCCCTCCCTGGTCAAGCAGCGCCTTGGGATGTGGGCGCGCCTCCAGGTGCCATTCGGACCTGCGTGGTGACACACGTATGGGTGGGAGGTTCTGGTGGGTGCACATGTGGTGTTTGCAGGCCCTATCCCCAATGCCATTTTGGATGTGTTTTGTTGTACGGAATCTTATTTATTGTAGCCAAGTCGGTGTCTGGGTGTGGTTGTAAGGAATGATGGATCCAGAAGCCAGGGCCTTGTACGATGAGGACCTGCCATGGTGGCTGTGTCTAGCTGTCCACAGGTTGTGCCTGCCCTGCACCTGAGCACTCCACCTTCCTGTGTTTCTTGGAGCTGGGGTGTCCATGCCTGTGAAGCAGAGTTCCCAGCACAGCAGTTCGATGCGCCCTCCTCACGCCCTACACACCCACTTCTCATGCAGGCACTGGGAACCAGTGTGTGGCATCCGGAGGCCATTGAAATATCACAGTGTAGCTTTTTAAACGTGTAATTTCTGAAAAGCAGCCCCCAGGTGGTTCTTATTGTGCCCCTGGCCAGCAGGGTGGTTCCTCCTGGGAACGTAATGGGGGAGCAAGTTCTCTGTCATCCTTTCAGGGTCCCATGGGCCCCCAGCCAGGACTCTGTGTAAACACTTTTTGTAGAAATGGTATTTTTATTTTATTAAAACATCAAGGCTGTGCTCCTGTAATATTTCTGAACCATTTGACATAAGTCAGATGGAAACTCAGCCGTCTTAAGTGTCTGCCTTCATGACGGCACTGTGGGCCCAACACTCAAGATTCCAGAGGAGCCTTTGTCCTTTGAGGCCCTGGATTCAGGCCTCTTCTTTGTGGGACCTCTGAGACCCATGTCCCCTTGTCCTATGACACTGACAGGTTATGCGGTGATGTTTCAGACACCATTCGATGTGATGAAATGATATAATAAAGTGCCACTTGATGATTGTCTGCTGTGGGCTGGTTTGTCTAGGTTGGTGAACTCGCTGCCTAAGGAAGCCTTCCCCAACCCACAGACCTCAGGGAGTCCTGAGAGCCAAGGCACCCTGTACCCAGATTGTTCCTGGCTGAGACTGGTGGTCCTGGTATCCTGAGTGGGTGAGGGCTGGACCATTGCGAGGGGTGCTCCAGGAGGATCAAGGGGCCCAACCCTACCCAAGGGGATCCCCAGGAAGGTAGGGGCTGTCTTCACACTGCAGCCCCATCTTTAGATCCCTACCCTGGGGTGGCCTGGCTGGAGGAAGGTCTCGGCACCCCACCCCGAGCTCAAGGGCACCAGCCTATCTCAGCATTTACACTTGGGTCCACTGCTGGGGGCCTCCCTAGACCCCTTGGCTCTGGGGTCTGTGTCCTGGGACACAGCCTGAGCTGGACAGCCTTGCGCACTTCAGGAGAGTTGTCCAGGGACAAAGCCTGGGCCGGAGCCTATTTGTACACCATTATGAATCACCCCAAGTCCAGGGACCACAACAGGGCACTAGGATTCAAGAAGTGCCTGTTCTGGGGCTGGGATGGGCTGTGTTTGCTGGTGGACATCAACCTAAGGAGCAAGCAGCCAGCACAGAGGGCGTCAACTGCAGCAAAGACAGTGACCCAAACAAGGTGAGGGCCAGCAGTGGGTGGCAGGCTGGGGTTCTTGAGAAAAGAATGTGCTTCATGTGCGTAAGGTGACACTAAGAACAGGACCTTCATGCAGAACACAGTGACCAGAACACAGCCTTCTGGGGAGGCTCATTAGCCAAGAATTGTAGCTGATGGCCCTGGGAACCCGAGATCCACCCCAGCCCTGGGAAATGGACAGCCACAGGGCTGCCTGCAGTGCTGGGAGCCTTCCTGTTCCCAGCATTGGCAACCGCAGGGGCCACCAGCCATGTTCAGAAGGCATAGCTTTCATCAGCAGAAAGCAAGAGACTGTTCTATACCAGAAGAGGCCAGCAAGGCAGCAAAAAGAGGTTCCTTCACTGGGCAGAGGCGTCCACAGGAAGCTTCATGACTGTCTAGTATCCTCCTTCTGTGGCCAGCAGTGGTGTGAGTCACCTGAGCAGGCTCCTGGCCTGCCCCAACTCCCCTGGCCAGCGCCCTTTCCCAAGAGCCTATGGGGTTCACCAGGGCACAGGCTGGAGAGGGGCCTCGGGGCAGCACCAGGGGGCGCCCCACTCACATTCTGCCTACCCAGGCAAGAATGCTAAGGCCAGCTGGGGGACAGCAGTGCCTCTGGCCCAAGCCCACCTGGCACCCCCTCACTGCCCTCCAGGCTGGGACTTCAGCAGTCCTCATCCAGTTGACCTCTGCTTCCCAGTCCTGGTCAGTCCAAGGTGTCCCCATGGCCAGTCCAGTGTCCTTGTTCCCAGCATGGGGTCTCTGGACAGGACTCTGGGGGGTTGGAGGATTGGCTCTCCTTGTGAGGTCACTGGCAGGCAGCCTGCCCCCAGACTACAGTGCTTCCCTGAATCAGACCCAAGACCTGGTAGCCTCACCTATCCAGCTCCCTCATCTGCAGGGCCCACTTGGACCAGCAGAAAGCAGAGCCTGAGAGAGAGTGCACCAGCTCAGCTCCAGTGCATCCAGTGCCACCATCTGGCCTAGACCAGAGGGTGGGGGATGGGCGCAGCAGCCCTCTCCTGTCTCCTCTAGGAAGGCGTCCCAGGCTTACTCCCCACTTGTGGGTAGCCCTGTGTACCCCAGTTGTCAAGGCCCACCAAGCAGCAACAAGGGGTACTGACTTAACAGGCTCCTGGGGACTCAGAAGCAGCCCGGGTGTTCTGTGGCCAGGGAGCTGCCCAACCAGCTGAGGCCAGAAGCACAGCTTCAGCCAAAGTAGTCACTGCAGGGTCACGGGGTCATGGCACCAGTGGAGCCCTGGTGGTGGTGGGTAGCAGGCCTGGACCAGGAGGGAAGGTGGTCAGGAACAGGGGTGTGGCCACCAGTGTGCAGGGTTTGAATCAAGAGGCTCATCTACATCTTTAAGTGGGAACCCACATAGTGAGTGGGGTAATGTGGGAAAGGCCTTAGCTGCAAGTGCCTAGACGTAATCCCTTGACCCATAGCCCTCAGGAGGGGTGGCAGCCAGGGAGCTCTGCAGAGCCAGAAAGCTTCCTCCTCACACCCACCAGGGCCCCTCCTGAAAATTCCAACTTGCCTGATGAAGCCTCCTTGCTCTTGGAGCCTCCAGACCTCCCGTGGCCTGAGGTTCTGCTGGCTGGGGTCAGGTCCCTTTACCCAGGACTCACATTTCCAGGTGTGGGAGCCAGAAGCCTGGGCTGCAGACCCTCTGAAGGCATGGCCTGGATGGCCAGTCCCCTCAGCCTGAGGAGACCTGCACCTCCATCTGGGGACCACCCGGGCTACTACTGTTCCCTCAGTGGCTAGTGGGCCCTCCCTCGCTTGGGAACAAAGAACAGAACCTGTCCCTGACAGGAAGTAGGACAGAGCTGCCAAGATCCCAGCAGAAGGCAAGAGGCACAGGCAGGGACTAGGACCAGGCCTTTCTCTTTATTGTCCGGAAAGTACATCTGCTGGTTGACAATCACTCCCCAGTATGAGCCACACCTCTGGCCACTGCAGCAGGCCCTGAGCCACCAGCGACCAGCAAGAGGCAGCCACCCAAGCTTAGGGCCCATTAACGGTACACAAAGTAACAGAACTGAATTCACGGCTTTCTCTCCCCTAAGTTCTGAAAGGTAGCAGTCCAGGCTGTAAAATTCTAGAAGCGTTGCGTAAGAAGTGTTAAGTCTACAGCAGATACATCTTGTAAAAACTCAATAAATTACATATATAGATATATATAAACCTGTAGCATCTAATAACATCTGAACCTGCAAGCAGGGCCAGCCCCTCCCCCCCAGGCGTGGCCCCCACCTGGAACATGCAGCAATAGGAATCTGTATGAAAATACCAGCTCGCTTTGAAGTACAAAAAATAAATCTCCTAGAGAAAGCCCCTATAGAAAGCTAGTTCCCCTGCAAAGGAGGCCAGAGGAAACACGAGCTCAAGGAGGCCCTCTGGCCGACTGCCGTCGAGGCTCAGCCTCCGGTGCAGCTGCAGGTGCTTCTGCAGCCTGGTAACTTGGCTAAGCCATGGCTGTTAATAAGTTAAGACTTTACTCTCTGCCACGTGCTGGCTAAATGCTGTGAACATGGGTGGGGTGCAAGGGTTCTGGGGGTTGATAAATAGCTTTACAAATATACAGGGTCCAAGTACAATTTTTAAAACAAAACTGCGGTGCCAGAAAAGCCTGCTGCTCCCCTGTGTTGCATCTGCCTCCCGAACAAGCCTCAAGGGGCCTCCCCCATCAGGCAACGCCCCCTGTACCCCGCAGCATTCCTTCCCTCCACACAGATACTCTTACAGGTATGGATGTATTTATATCATATACACAGCATCTATTTATATAAATGTACACTCATTTCTGGAATAAAACTTTCGGATAGAAGGCAGAGGCTCCCACCTTCGGATACCCGTAATTTCAGTCTTAGAGGGGCAGGGTGGGAAGTGGGGAGGCCTGGAGGTGGGGAAGCTGCCACTCACCCCCAGGCACAAGGTGCCACTCCGGAGCCTTGCCACAGAGGGCATCCCCGCAGCTCAGCTTTGGGCACTGGAGGGCCTGAGGCCCACTGTGGACACTGGGTCCAGCCTGGCCTGTGATGCTTCTTATGGGGTGGTGGTGAAGGACCAGGCACTCTTACATTCCATATTTGGTCCCCCAAAACAAGGGTCCCTTGGTGCTCCTGGCAGTGGTGAGTCAGGAGATCACTGTATAGCAGCGCAGGCCCCAGGAGACCTCTGCACCCGGGGGCCGCCAGACACACACACACACACACACACACACACACACACACACACACACACGAACATCTATGTCCATCTGCCCATCCATCCTGGGTTTGGGCCCGGGTCCACTGTATACCAGCAGCAGCACTGTAGGCTGGGATCCACTCTCACATTGATGGGGCTTGGCCTAAGGGCCAAGGGCCCTTCACGTCCGAGGGCCCACATTGCTGGGTGGGGCCGGGGGCAGCAGGTCATGGGTAAACACAGAGTCGTCCCCTGAGGAGCTGGAACTGGGGGTGTCTTGGCCACCTGGTGAGTACTGCTCAAAGGGCACTGACAAGTCCAGGTACTCCTGCCGGGAACGGAACCAGTCAGTACTGTGTCCTGCATGAGCCCCACCCCAGCTGTGCTCAGACTGTCCCCAAGGACACTCCCAAGGGGAAGCAGAGCAGCCACGTGGGGGACAGAAGGGGGCTGGCACTCACATCAGTGGACGTCACGGTGAGGATGCGGTCCAGGTCTTCAACCAGTTGTTTGAAGGTAGGCCTCTGGGAGGGCACTGCGTGCCAGCACTCACGCATGATCATGTACCTGGGGGCGAGGCTGCTCAGGCCCAGCCCTTCAGCCTGGTCCACCTTGCAAACACAGGTCTACCAGCCCCCCACCCACCACAGGAACTGCGCCCAGGCCCTAGCAGGAACCCCCAGGGGCCCGTGGAGTATGCTGTGCTCACAGGTCGTGTGTGCAGTTGGCTGGCCTGTCCATGCGGTGGCCCTCCTTCAGCAGCTTGAAAAGCTCCTCCACGGGTATGCCGGGGTATGGCGAGCCCCCCAGGGTGAAGATCTCCCAGAGCAGGACCCCAAAGGACCAGCTGCAGAAGTGAGACAAGCCAGTCTGCCCTACGATCCCAGGGCCCAGTCCTTCAGCAGCCCCACCCCAACACCTGCCACCAGGGACTAGAGAGCCCAAGGGCCGAGGGGAGGCGGCTGAGCAAAGGAGTGCAGAGCGCACTGCCCCAGGGCTGTGTGGGAAGCACCGGAGTCTGCTCTGTCCCTGGCTCCCTGCTCCCCGCTAGGCGCACATACACATCACTCTGGTGGGTGTAGACCCGATCAAACAGGGCTTCGGGGGCCATCCACTTCACCGGCAGCCGGCCCTAGGAGCACAAGAGCAGGTGTTAGCTGCCAGGCACCTCTGGCTCCAGCCCCCGCCCACCCGGGGCCAGGCTCACGTTGGTGGTCTTCTTATAGTAGTCGAGGTTGTGCACATCACGGGCCAGGCCAAAGTCGGCTATCTTCATCACATTGTCCTCAGTCACCAGCACGTTGCGGGCAGCCAGGTCCCTGTGGATGCACTGGAGCAGGGGCCAGGGATGAGCAGAGCCTCCTGGCATCGCCTCGCCTCTGCCCCGCTGTGCGATGCCCTGGCCTGGGTCTCCACCCCAGCAGGTCTGTCACCCTCCCCTCAGCCCAGAAGGCCTGTGCCTCCTGCCCACTCACCTTCTGGGATGCCAGATACTCCATGCCCCGAGCCACCTGGTAGGCACATGACACCAGGTCCTTGAAGGTGAGCTGTTCCTCAGGCAGCCTGCAGGTGTGGAAGGAGTAGTCCATGCCCGGCGGCCTCCGCGCCCGAAGGTACTCCCTCAGGTTGCCCTTGGCCGCGTACTCCACCAGCACGTACAGAGGCCCTGCAAGCACAGGGCCTCAGAGGGGACACCAGGCCCAGGGATGGTGCCGCCCGCCCTGTCCAGCCGGCCCCCCACCTACCGCCCTGCGTGCAGGCCCCCAGCAGGTTGATGATGTTCTTGTGCCTCCCAATCATCTTCATCATCTCCATCTCCGACACCAGGTCCGACAGGTCCTTGTCAGTGGCATCGTCTGTCCCGGGAGGTGGGGTGTCAAGCAGTGGCGCTCACAGCCCACCCGGGTGCCCCTTGCTGTCTCCATTCTCACCTTTCAGCATTTTCACCGCCACTGTGACAGGTCTGGCAGCACGGTCCTTGTCGATGCCAATGGCCTCTGCCATGACCACCTGGCCAAAGCAGCCCTCTCCAAGAGGCTTGCCCAAGGTCAGTCTGGAAGCAGAGAGGCTCTGAGGGTGCACCCTGGCCCAGCACAGCCTTCAAGGCCTGGCTACGCCTCCAGGAAGCCCTCCAGCCTTACCCTGTGCCCTAGCTCCTGAGCCTAGGGCAGCACCCTCAAGCTTCTTGCCCTGTGCCATGCCCTTCACATACACACCCTGAGACCCTGAGAGGTCTGGGTCTTCCACCTGCATCAACAGCTGCCCTGTTTTCAAAAGCCACTGTGTCCAGCCCAGTTCCAGTCTAAAGTCAATTGGGCCTTACACAGTGACTGTCCCACCACCCACCACAGAATCCCTGCCAGGCCCCAGGCATCTGCACGTCATCCCTCACCACCACTGACCGGGCCCGGGACAGCTCCCATTTGGGGTCGGCAGGTAACTCAAGCTCAGAAACATTAGCCAGCGTGGGACCTTCTCCCGAGGACAGCCGGGCAATGCGGACCAGCGGTGTGTTGGAGTTCATGGACGAGTTGGACTCCAAGGACACCTGCTTGGGTCGGTAAAGGCAGGTTGGTGCTGCACGACAGGGTGGGGGGCCAGAGGGGGTGGGGGAGGACAGCCCCAGGGACAGCAAGGCCAGGGCAAAGGAGGCTCGGCTCTGGGAGCTGGGGTGGCAGCGGCTCAGAACCTGGTATCTACTTTCTGTTACCTGTCGCTTGAGCGGGAAGCGGGAGACCGTGTGCACAGTGGGGGAGCCCAGGCCCTTCTTGGGAGGGCTGCGCAGGCGGCACAGCGTTACGGCTGCCACCAGCAGGATGAAGAGGAAGAAGCCCACCCCGTAGCTGAGGACGCCTGCATACACGCTGCCAGCCTCGTCCGCCTCCGCCAGCTCCTCCTCCGCTGCAAAGACACCGGCGTTGGGGCCTGGCCCAGCCTCCCCGGAGCCCCAGGGCCAGAGCCACAGCTCCAGTGGGGTAGGCAGGGCTCAGCCCCCAGGGGGACCAGAGCTAGGGACCGAGGCCTCCATGGCCCCACAGGCCCAAATGCTGCAGTCAGAACGTCTGTGGAGTCAAGAGGCCCAGACCCAGGACGGAAGCAGCCCAGCAGAGCAGCAGCACCACTGCACCCAGCACCCAGAAATGCTGAAGCCAGAGCAGGGCAGGGGGACCTGGGGGTGCAGGGGAGGCCCGACGTGGGCCAGGACGGGCCAGGTTGATGTTCCCAGGCCAGGAACCAGGCCGGGCATGAGGCCTACATGTGGTGGGCAGCCCCAGGCAGGGCCCTGCCCCACCCTGCAGCTCTGACTTATCCTGAGCCAGCCCGAGGACAGGTGCGAAGCCATTAGCAGCAGTAGCAGGTACCTGGCAGCACCGCCAGCCACGCAGAGTGATGGGAAAACCCGATAGAATTGCCCGCCAGGCAGGTGTACTCCCCCGCGTCCTCAAAGGTGACATTGCGCAAGGATAGAACCTCTAGCTCCTTGTCGGTGGTGTTAGCGCCCGCCGTCTATAAAGAGAGAACAGAGCGATAGGCGAGCGCCAGCACCGCCCACGGGCACCGCGGCAGAGTCCACACAGCGACGATCCAGCCAGGCTGCAAGGAAAACACTGCCACCACCACTTGGCCACCACCACGGCCGGCCACGGCCACGGCCCAGGGCCCTCCGCCTCGTGCTCTGGCACTGGCATGGAGCCTGAAGCCAGTCCCTCCACCGGCGAGTCCTCTGTCCCAGCTGAGCGTCAGGCAGGCGGGCAGCATGGCACCGCTCAAAGGCAGCATGCAGGGTTAGTGCAGAGAGGAGAGGCGCAGATGAAGGACAGGTGGACAGACAGACAGATGGACAGCAGAAGGCGAGCAGGCAGAGTCAGTGGCCAAAGAGAGGCCAAGAGTGGATGCTCCGTATGGGACTCAGCCCCTGACAGGCTCTGAGGACCTTCTGGGGGTGCACATCGGGTATAGGAGGGGTCAGCACAGGCCAGGAGTCTGAAGCCAGCATTCAGTCGTGGGCCTGGGCTGCCAGCATTGCCAGGCTGGCCACAAGCGGAGTGCGGCCATAAGGTGGAGGGAGCAGGAGGGGACGTGCAGGGGCGTGCAGGCAGGCACAGGGCCGGGGCGTTGGAGCTGGAGCTCGGCGTGCCAGGCAGGCGTGGGACAGAGTTGTTACCTGCTCGGGGCCCATGAACACGCAGCCAAAAGGCCTTCTCGGCCACGCCTATGAAATTGGTGGCTCGACAGAGGTACTCGCCCCCGTCCCTCTCCGACACATTGGCCAGGCGGAGGCGCGCGTCCGCCTCCACATTCTCACTGATCCAGGACTGCGGGGACAAGAGACCTGGCTCAGGCACACCCCAGGAAGCCCAGCTGGACACCAGGCAGGAGGCAGGAGAGCCCCAAGGGCTGTGGCTTCACAGGATGCGCCTTCTCCATATCCAAACTCCCACCCAGAGCCCAGACCCCTCAGCCACCCCACCCCACCCCCGCCGACTAGGCCCAGAGGGTTGGCTGGGCCCAGGGCACGCACGCTCCTGAGGGCACACATGCTCCCACATGCCCACGCCATGGAACAGAGCCCTGCAGCCTGTCCCAGCTCTATGGACTCTGGCTCCCGTCCTGCTCCAAGTGCCGCCCCACCCCCACAGGCTGCTTATCTCTGAACAGATGTTTCTCTTTGGGCTTCCAGTGTTGCAACCATCCCCACTCGGGTGGCCCCCACCCCGCAGCCATGGGAACCAAGCTAGGGCAAGGAAAGGCAGCGGGTGGCGAGCGGTGCCACACCACGCAGCTGGCAACAGCCACCTAGGCCAGCTCTGGGAGTGGCTGTCCAGGTGTGAGGTCCTCGAGGGTGTTGGGAGGTTCAGCAGCTGCCTCCTGCCCTGGGCCACCATCACTGTCACCTGAGCTCAAGCCTACCCAGAGGCCTCCTGCCGGCCAGCTCCAAGCTGTGGGGCTCCAGAATGCCGAGGCCAACCCAGAGCAAACAGGGCCACAGGCTCCACTGTGGCCCTGAGCCCCACCTTCCTCCAGAGGCGCCCACCCTGGCCGAGCCCCCGTAGCGGTGCCCACCTTGAGCACGGTGACGTAGGGCGTGCCGTCAGGGCCCACCTTGCTGCCATTCACCTCCACGTGCTTGAGCCACTGGATGTGGGGCTGTGCGTCACTGTACACCTTGCAGTGGAACTCCACGTCGCTGCCCAGCACGGCTGTCTGGTTGGCTGGCAGCCCCGCCTGCAGGATGGGCCGGTGCGGGGAGCGCTCTGCAGAGGGGTCAGCAGGCTGGTCAGGGGCTCGGCTGCCCTGGCTGCCTGCCACCCAGCCAAGTCCCAGGCCCGGCTGGCCTTACCCAGCACGTCCAGAGTGTACGTCTGCCGGATGCTGCCAAACTTGTTCTCCACCACGCAGGTGTAGTTGCCGCGGTCGGAGGGCACCACGCTCTCCATGACCAGGCTCCACTGCTGATGACGCAGCTGCAGGTGACATGTGACTGGCTGGTGAGCAGCAGCAGCAGGCCCTGTCCTGCCAGGCCCCCAGACCTGCCCTGGGCCCACCTTGATGCCCCCAATGCGATGCTCCCCTCGGAACTCCTTGCCGTTCTTCAGCCAGGAGATGGAAGGAGTGGGGTTGCCAGCAGCTGGGCAGCGGAAGCGAACCGTGTTGGCAGCCGGCACTGCCAGCAGTTTCTTGTCCATCCGCTCTGGCCGAGTCCAGTAAGGGGCCCCTGTGGGTGCAGGTGGATGTGAGGCCACAATGGAGACAGGGAGGAGAGGTCCACCTCACTCCTTCCAAAGCTGGCTCCTGCTAAGCCTCTAGCCTGTTTCCCCTCCTGTTTGGGGTGTGGTGGCCTTTCTGGGTCCTTCTTGTGGACTGGACACCCTCAGACTGGGCCATGTCTACTCCCCGCAAGAGGCTGCTCTTGCTGAGAGGCTCTGGCCTGGGGGCATGTCCAGGGAGGCCCCTACCAGGAGGGCACATTGGGATAGGCAGCCACCTGAGGGAGGCCCAAGACCCAGCCAGCAGCCCAGCAGGCCCTGAGCCCTGGACATGGTTTCTAGGAGGAAGAAATGGAGTATGCAGAGCAGGGGAAGCAGCCAGGCCATGTCAGCCCCCAGGCCTCTGCAGTGCCTTGCAAGGATGGCAGCCTGGAGGTTCTGCTCCTCCCTGCCTTGGTGCCCAGGGCCACTGCCACCACCTCCAACCCCCACTGGGTTTTCTCCTTCTCTGGGATGGGGGTGGGGGCACCGGTGCTGCCTTCTTGTCCAGACCCATTAGGATGCTGGGCCTTGCCCCCCACAAGGGAGGCAGCAGGTCCAGGACCAAGGAGGGAGGTGACTGCTGCTCACAGGGACCTCACTGCTGTCTGCCCCAGGGACACACCTTGTACACGCACAGCTGCACACTGAAACACCCCGGCACAGCCACCTGCTCCTGCTGTAGTGTGACAGTCACCCCAGGGGCTCTCAATCCCTGGGCACATTTGTCCCTCAGCCATCTTCATACTGGGACAGCCCCTCACCCAGAACCAACCCCAAGTCCCCATGGGCCAGACCTGGCCTCGCCTCTCCAGAACGCTGTATCAAGCCTCCCCATGTGAGCATGGGTCTCTCCCACCCCACGGCCACCTGGAGCTCAGAGCCAAGCATCCAGAGCCACCTGGTGGACCACAGAGGTCATCCCCCAGGCCTAGTGAGGCGTCTCGCCTGCCCATGGTGGCCAGGGCTGGGCAGAGGGAAGCAGACCCTGAGTGCCCAGCCCCTGGTCTCACCTGTGTCCTCAGCCACATCCTCCCCGTCTTCATCGTCTCCAGAGGATGGAGCATCTGCAGTACAGGAGGAGTGTGAGTGGGCGCAGCTGCCCCCAGCCAGGTGCCCTACAGGGGCAGGGCTGCTGCAGCCACATTGCCGGAGCTGGCCCTGGCCTCACTGCCCTGCCAGCCACGCCCCCCGCCCCCAGCCCGCACACCCACAGGGTTTACCTGTCACACGCACACTGAAGTGGCACAGCACGCGCTGTGTGAGCCGCTGCCGGCAACTGTAGGCCCCAGTGTCTTCATGAGAGGCATTTAGCACCTGCAGCTGCTGGGGCCCCACCAGGACACGGCCTGAGGACACCAGTCCCGAGCCATCCTTGACCCAAATCGTGGGACCCACAGGACCACCTCCGGGTGGGTCACAGCTCAGCTCCATGGTGTCCCCACTCCCAAAGACCAGCTGCTCCTGCTGGCCAGGCTCAGGCCCTGGGACCTCTGTGGGTGAAAAGGCAGCACTGAGGGAAGCCTGGGATCAGACACCCTGCGCCCAGCACCTGCGCAGCAACCCAGCACAGCTACAGAGGTCCTGAGTAGGAGTAGTCTGTCTCCAGAGCCAACGTCCTGCCAGATAACACTCAAATCAGGGGCCAGAATCCCCTAATCGGCCCAGGGGAATCAACTCTCTCTGTTCTGCCAACCAGTCTCTGTTCCAAGGACTCGACTCTGCGCTGGGGTACAAAAGCTGCCTTCCAAAGACAATCCCTAAGTGGCTGCGCATGGCTGTGCTCCAATAAAATTTCTTTCGGACGCTGAAAATTCTAATTTCAAAGTATTCCAAAGGGGGCTGATGTGACTCAGTGACAGAGCACTTGCCTAGTGTGCATTCACCTTGGGTCTGATCCCAATGCCGGGGGAGAAGAAAGTGCCACTAAGTGTTATTCTTTTGATTTTTCTACCATTTGGAAATGTAAAATCCGTTCTGGGCCCACCAGCACAAAAGCAGGGAGGACAAGCAACACTACATCAACATCTGGCTAAAATAAAGCTCAGAGGAAGGGATGCAGCAATTCCCAAGGAGGCCCTCTCCTCACCCACAGCCCTCACCGCAGCTTCAAGAGCAGTTCAGAGGAGCTGGAGAATACCATGCCAAACCCAAAAAAAACAGAGGCCAAAGGTTTTCTCTGATAAGCAAGTGCTAATCCATAATGAGGAGCTGGGGATTGAAGGGACTTTGGGTTTTGCAAAGAGGGGGTAGAGATGGGAAGGACTGCCGCAGTCTGGCTGGGCACAAATCACGAGCCACTCAAGCAGAAACAAACTTTATTTCCGAACTCCCCCGAACTCCCTTCCAGGGACTCCACACACCAACCGGAACTCCCTCCACGGGGCCTTCACCAACCAACGAACTCCTGCGAACTCCCCAGGAATCCCCGCGAGAACTCAAAAGTAGCAGGGGCGGACAGCAGGGGTCTAGGTCTACATGTATGATCATACTACTGGTGTGACTCTGCACCAAGTTCAGCCAGAGGAAGGAGACATTGTGCTCCATTTGTGTACAATGTGTCAAAATGTATCCGACTGTCATGAATAACTAATTAGAACAAATTTTAAAGTTTAAAACGATAAAAATAAAGCAGTGTATATGGAGAGCCAGGGACCAGCCCCTGCCCCAGAAATAAGAAGGAAGGAAATGCAGGTCAGTAGGTCGGATGGGTCCTACTCCACGCAAGGCGCAAGGCGCAAGGCGCAAGGCAGTGGCTGCAGCCAGCAAGGCAAGCCCCGCCCCAGGTGGCCAGGCAAGAGAGCTGCAGTGGGACTGGCTAGTGGCAGCCCCTCCACTCCACACAGCTCCACACAGCCTTGGGTACAAGGGCAGCCCTCGAGGTACAAGGGAGCCTGGGTAGGCCCAGGAGAGTGGCTGATGTTGGGCTCTTGCCTGCATGGGGCCTGGACCCCGTTTCACAGATGCCACAGACAGGGAGGGGAAGCAGTCTAGCCATCAGGTGAGTGCTCAGAGCTGAAGTCTAGGGCAGGTGAGGAGCCCGGGCCCTGCCCTGAGGGCTGAAAGCCTGGGGTGGGAGCTCAGCACCAGGCAGGTATGCAAAGGTGGCTTCTGGCCTCCTGCCCAGGGACTGCCTAGCTGCTGATGGGCCCCCAGGCCTGAGACCAGGGACACACCACCAGCAAAGCTGACCATCACCCCCAGGCCTCCCTGCCAGGGCATACAATGCCTGCATGGGGGCAGCTGGGCTTGGGGCCCAGGATGGGCGGGTGGTCCTGCTAGGCAGACCTTTCCTAGCCAGCTGGACGCTGCACCATTACTTGTCATTCTGCCGACGCGTGGCCTATATTCCAGGCCCAGCTGCCCACTCTGGCCACACCAGTCCCTGGCTCCCCGGAAAGGCATGACTCTGCGTGTCCCACACACCCAGGGCCATGGGATCCAGCCAAAAGGACCCGCTCAGCCCCTGAAATACCTATGGGAGCCTGCATCCCACAGGGAACCACAATTTAAGGCTAGCCCTGGTGGGCCCGCAGTCAGGTGGGCTCTTGGCCTGACCTCCAGCCCTCCATCCCTGCTGCCATGTCCTGTGGGGACCACCCAGTACTGGAGCTGCTGAGGCCCCCCAGAAGGCCAAGGACAGGCTGGTAGTAGCCTCAGCTTCAGGCCTGGGCCAAAGGCAATAGCCAGTTGGTTCCGGTTTGGTCTGGGCAAGGACAGCAGGTCAAGCCATCCCCACAAGTATTTGCTTCAACCTGGTCCAGTGAGAGGAACTGGGAGGAGACCCGGAAGAGCCCCAGGCTGGTCATGCAGATGGCTGCTGGTGTAAGATGGGAAGGGAAGGGGCCCTGCACTCAGCCATCGCTGACCCTTGACCTGCCCATCCACCCTGCTGCAGGGTGCCAGGAGAGGCCAGAGACAACAGAGCGACCTCAGGCAACAGAGTCTCCACCTCCTTTGATCACATTCCAGGGCCCATAGGGGCCTGGGGCTGACCTGCAGGGACTGGGTTAAGAGAGTCTGGCAGGGAGATGCCAAGGGAAAGACAATATGTGTCTGGCCTGAGTGGACACTATCTCCTCCTGGGGAGGCAGCAGCAGAGCCCCCAAATGCCCCAGCCTGGCCCCCATGCTCACCAGGAGGCAGGAAGGTTCTTTCCTCATCAACAAGGAACCACCTGCACCCACACTAGCCCTGGTGCTCCTGCTGTGCCTGTGGGGATGATGTCTGCCACGTAGGCCTCACAGCACCTAGTGTCCCCATGTCCCACGGAGCTGAACCCAGCCAGAGCACCTCAAACCAAAGAGAGCTCACTGTCAGAGCTGGAGGAGCATGTGTTCTGGGGGCAGGGTATGCTGGGCCTGGGGTCTCCCCGTCTCTGAGCCTCAGTTCCCACCACTGTGACCCAATTCAAAAATACAACCCTATAGGCCTGGGGACCCAGAAAGGCCACCTTCACATGCTGGAGCTGGTGAAGAGGGGTGGGGGTGAGGGGCATTTCTGCCTGGGTGTCTTGCCCCAGGCTACAGCCAAGCCAGCCTGCTGAGGAGGGTCATGGCTCCTGCCCAAGAAACCATTCTCCTAGTGCTGAATCGCCACAGCTGAGGCCCAATGCACCCTGCAGAACTAGCATCAAATTCACACTTGATTCTAAAGCCAGCCACCCCAAGCTTGGGGGAGCTAAGCATTCTGGCTTGGCCCAGGACACTGTCTGAAGCCCAGGTATGGGAGACATTGCCAGGTATGAGGTTAAGGTAGCCTAAAAGAAGGGCAGTGCCCCAAGGGACCCTGAAGGCAAAGCAAAGGTCTGGCTTTCCACTTCCCCTCCCATCCCACCCGGAGACATTCTGCAAGGAGACATTCTGCAAAGTTTCGTAACAAAGTCAGGGGGGAAAAAAAGGGATCCGGAGACCGGGTGGGCTAATGAGGGCTTATGGGGATTATCCAGGCTAATCCTCAAAACAATCCTGCCATTATCGGTCCTCCGTCCTCAGTCCTCTGGGACAGGTGAGAAGCCTGAGGTTCCAGGAAGGTACCCTGAACCTGGCCCCACAGCTGGCAGCCTGAAGGTCTAGGCATACACCCCCTCAAACAAAAGGGGGCTGGCTCACAGCTTCTCCTAAATGACTAAGGCCTGACGGACCCCTGCTCTTCCCTGAGCCCAAGCAGGTCCCCTAACCCTTGGGCAGACCCTAGGCCACCTTGCCCAAAGACCTCAAGCCCTTTGGTTCCCTTCTAGACTCAACTATAAAAGAAGCACCCACAATCGGTTCCAGTCCCAAGTGAGACCTGAAGACAAGGAGGGGGTGTGGGTGACAAGGGGGCTCCTAGTCACAATACAAGGGCTGGGAGGGCAGAGGATTAGCCTGGGTTAATGAACCACCCAGAGGCCTACAGGGCTCAAAGTCCAGCCGGGCCCAGGAGCAGTGGGGGAGGCTGGAGCCAGGACCCAGTTTCTGGGGAAAGACCTGCACTCCCACGAGGTGGCTCCTAGCTGGGGTAGGGTTAACCTCCCGACCTCCTACGGGCCTCCCCAGAGAACGTGGTCCAGCAAGGAGGCAGGATGGAGGTTGCCCTTGCTGGGCCTGAGGTGGCCAGAGCAGTCCAGTGGCTAAAGCTTTCCCCACTGCCCTTGACCCCACCCGGCTCCATCTCCATAATTTATGTTCCCGGAGAAAGCACCAGCCGGGACCTCTGTAAATTTCACGAGGTCTTTGTATTTTTACTGCTGGCCCATCTCGTTAAGGCACCGGATTAAGTTTATTGACCTATCAACTCCCTACCTGTTCCACCAGCTCTAGTGAGGGGGCGGGGGTACCGCCGCGCGCGGGCGCCAGGAGCAGCGAGCCTGTGCGCACTCTGCCGGCGCGCAAGGGCCCGTGCGGGGAGGCCACCGTGCGTCCGAGCCGCGGGGTCCAGCAGCGGGCCGGGCGCCCCTCGCCGCCCCTCTCTCGGCTCGCTGACATTCCCGGGCGTAGGGAGTAATATCTTTATCTGAATGCGCATGCTAATGCGGCCCCCCCACCGCCGCCTATTCGGCGCCCTGGAAGCTGGGCCGTCGGAGCAGGCGCTAAAAGCGCGCGCTGACCTCCGGACGGCCTCTGTCACGCCGCTGAATGACACGCACATTCAAGCGCCGGGCCCACTTTCATTCATAAAAAAATGACATTGTTCCGGAAGGCTGCAGCCGCCGCGGGAGAAAGGGGAGCGGGGGCACGGGGAGGGGCGCGCCACCATCTGCCTCGTCCCGCCGCGCCCGCCGCGCAGCTCGCACCTCCCTGCGAGGCCGCCGCCATCAATGCGCGGTCTGTGGCCGCCCGGGTACAAAGGAGCGGCTGTTCGGGCCTCGGCCCGGGTGGGGCAAGGCTCACGGGGCGAAGGCCTCCCTCCGAGCGGTCGCCAGCCAGACCAACCCTCCACCCAGCAGCCCGCAGCACCGCCATGCTCCCCTGCGCGCCTCAGGTTCGAAAGCGTGTGCTGGGCGGGCCTGGCGCACCCTGTCCTCCTGCTGCTCTGCAGGCTCTCTTTGCTGACCCTCGACGTCCTGCTGGACCTTGACCGCCGGCCCGCGTCTGCGACCCCACGACCCTGACATCTGCGCCCTCACCTCCCACAGCCCTCCCTGCCTGGTGTTGGGTGAGCACCCAGGGGCAGACCCTTTGGACCCCCGGGCAAGAGAGCAGGGAGGGGGCGGTGGTGGCCCGGAGGCTGTCACCTCATCACACGGGCTACTGGAGGGCAGAGGCCGAGCTTCGGCTTACACACTCCTACCCACCTCCAAAGTCCAACCTCTTGCTTTAGCTGACGCTGACCAAGCACTGAGGCCCCCGGGAGCCGGGATGGGGGGGCACCAACAATAGGAAGTTTCCATCCGCGGAGCACCCGAGGGGCAACAGTGGAAACTCGGTGGTACCCCCACCGCGCCCTCTCGACCGCGCCTCGGCTGGGGAGTCGCGGGGGACTGGAGTCTGGCGCCTCGCACTTGGGTGGTGGCCCTGCGGCTCCAGTAACCCCATAAACCGCCGCGTCGGCTCTGGTCGCGATCTCGGGAGAAAGGGACACCAGAACCCGACACTAGTCCTGCAGTGAAACTCCACCGGGACTTTCTCGCCACTCAGGCCCTGTCCGGGTCCCCGACGCCTCTACCTGCCACCGCCCGGCCCCTCTAGGTGCACGTTGCATGCTTCCTTACCTGCCGCTCCCGGCACGACGCGCTGCTCTGTGCCCGGGGGCTCCGAGGCGACGCCCGCCACAACCGCCGCGGCCACGCACAGTGCGAGGGCGCAGGCCGGGGCGCCCATGGCGGGGGCGGAGGCCGCAGCGTCCTCAGGAGGCGCGCGCGGACATGCTGTCCCCCACGGCCCGGCTCCCGCAGGAGGTGGGCGCCGCTCCGGAGTCTGCGGGAGGAAAACAGCTCGTTACCCGGGCCGGGGCCAGCGCCCCGACCCCGCCGCCCCTTGGCCGCCCCTCCCGCCGCCGCCGCCGCCGCCGCCGCCGCCCAAGGCTCACGGGCCGCCTGGCGCCGGCCGCCTCCTCCCCGCCGCGGTCCCTCCCTCCTCCTCCTTCTCTCCCTGGCTGCCGCAGAGCCCTCCCAGGGCGGCGGCGGCGGCGGCAAACTTTCCAGAGCGGGAAGCCCGCTCCCGGCCGGGCCCCGTCGTAGGGACCGCTCCAGATCCGAGCCCGCCGCTCGCCCGGGGCCCTCAGAGCGCCCGCCGGGCCTCTCCAAGAGCCCGCCTGGTCCCCCGCTCCAACCTGGCGGCCACAGGAACCCAACTCACTGAGTGCGGCTCCCACTTCGGACTGCAGCCCGCGGGCAGCGCTCGCCGGGTCCCTCCGGCCGTCGACCCGCCCGTGCGCCCGTGCGCCCGTGCGCCGGAGCGGGACCGAGCGGCGCCAGCTGCCCGCGCCGCCGCCGCCACAGTGCACTGAGCTGGGGCTGCCCGGCGCGCGGCAGCCAGTGGGGGACGGCCCGCGGCCGCCACGCCCCTGGACACGCCCCCAGACACGCCCGCGCGGCTCGCTGGGGCGCAGGAACACGCCCCTCCTCGGGGGCGGTCCGGGGGCGGGGACGCCAGGCGGTCCAGGAGGGCGTGGGAGCAGGGGCGGGGCCCGGAGGGCGATCCTGTCGCGGGGGCGCAGCGAGTCCCAGCACAGGCCTCTCTTCGCACAGCGCAGCCCAGGCGCGCGGGGACTGTGCTCACCCGCTCACAGGGGAGGTCTCAGTGGGGAACGGGGAGTGTGGGCAGCTTCACTGAGAAGTGGCCGCTGAACTGAACCCCGCCGAGTGAGCAGGAATTCCTCAGGTGGAGGAAGCAGGACCGCATGCCAGGCAGAGGCAAATGTATGTGCCCAGGCCTGGCGGTGAGGACGAAGATGCAGGGAACCTGCTCTGCATCATAGACGCAAGTCCCTATGGCACAAGTGCAGCTCAGCTGAGCTCCTTGCTGCGGGGTCACAACCTCCCTTCCAGGGAGAAAACAGGTTTGGAGGCTGTGTGTCTGTCAGGCCTCCAAATAGAAAGCTGAGGCTGGGAGCCACCAGGTGTGGGGAGCCCACCCTAGGGCTCTGAGAAAGGACCATGTGGGGAGCTGGTGGCAGAGTCCAAACTGGCCAAAAGTGTGGGGCACCTTAGGATGGGACACGTTCCCGCTGGTGAAGGTCCAAGCTGCTGATATCAGTGCCTAGGAGCACCAGCTTGGCCTCCCCATCAGGCCAGGAGGCGGTTGGTACTGCTCTGCAGATGCTCTGGGTCCTCCTGCCCCATATGCCTAGCTTCTGTGACCACCCTCATAAGCATCTCTCCCATGTTCAGGCAGGGCCTCAGAGGACCGAGCTAATGGGAACCAGCCAGGGAGGAGGGGGTCCCCCACCAGGCTTTGGGGTCTGTTTGCTCATCAGGAACATGGGCACGGCAGCCCCTCATCCCCAGTTGCTCATCCCTGCCCAGCATGCAGTGCTCACCCTGAGCTCCAGGCACAGCCTGGGCTGACCTCAGGGAGCCCTGTGCCCTGTACTCACCTCACAGTTGGGCACCTCGGCCTCTGCCACCCTTGTCACCTGGTCTGGCCAAGCCTATATCCCTCCAGACTGGCTGAACCCCCCAAGGACTGTCCAGCCTCACTCCAGTGCACTCCCTGGGCAGCTGCCACCCAGGTCTCCTCCCAGGATGCCATCCTCAGGCGGCAGCAAATGTCCTGCCCTAGTCCATTAACTGGCCAATGAGTCTGTTCCTGTGTCTCCTTGACCCTCTTCCTCTGGGTGTTGGGATAGTGTTGACCCTCCTGGTTCCTTTGTGGGAAGAAGATGGCAGGAGAGACAGGGAGGTGCCTGCTACTGGAGGGGCACCTGAGGCTGGCCTCCCATGAGAGGCTCCTGCAGGTAGGAGGGCTCTGAGGAGCTCCAGGCCTGTCTCCCTGGATCAGTGGTGCCCTGTTTCCTGGGCACCTGAACCTGCTCAGCGTGCACCATCCTGGCACAGTTTTACCTCGTTTCTAGGATTGTCTCCTGGTGTAATGCTCCTGGCCCAGCCCCACTCCTCCCATGTGTGCACCCTAACCTGACCCCACCGGCCCCTCTCCCAGCTCTTCATGGGCCCTCTCTGTGTCTCTGTGTCCCCCTCTGCCTTCTGTAAGGACACCTGTGGGTGTAGGGCCATCTCATCTCAAGCTCCTAGCCGGCTTGGCTTGTTAGGGCCCCTTTCCCCGTGAGCGCTCAGGCCCTCGGGCCCAGGCGTTTGAGCCTCTGTCCTGTCCACTGCACACCCAAGGGGACCCACTTCTTTTGGCATCACCCCTTCAGTGGGGGCTCTCAGACACTGTGGGCTCTGTCTGGGGGCCATGGGGCAGAGAGCAGCCACGTTGCCTCCAGAGGGGCTGGTGCTGTCAGGAGCAAGGCACGCTCTCCAGGGCGGCCTCCCCGAAGGCCAGTCCTCCCCGAAGGCAATGTCAGACAAACTTTGATGTTCAGCGCCATCACTTTAAGTGGTCAGCTTCAGCAAAGAGCACAGGGGTTGGGGGCCACCTCCTGGACACTGGGACAAGGCAGGTGCCACCCTCGGGCTGGCACATCATTGCCTGGATGGTGTGCTGCCGCCCCTCTACCAGCCTTAATCAGACCCCTGTCTCCCCACCCCGTCAGCACTACCCAACTGCGTCCTGCATCCCAGGGCGGCCCTCCCTGGAGAGCTTCTGATTAAGGGGGCCTGTCAGTGGTGCAGGAGTCCAGGGTGGCTGGCCCCATATCAGGGAGCCTCCAGACTGCCAGTGTCCCCAGTCCAGTGCCCCATCCCAAGGCCCACTCCTGCAGGATCCACAGTGAAGAGCCCGGTAGGAGGTGGAGGCCAGGCCCAGGCAGAGGTTGATGGCCCAGCCAAGCCCAGCCCGGGTGCCGACTCAGAGCTGGGTGCCCTGGCTTGCTGGGGCCTGTGTTGGTGAGCAGGCAAGAGGGCTGCCCCAGAGGAGCACCAGGTGAAGTGCCCAGGCTGCAGGACACCAGCAGGCCACAGGGGCCAACTTCACATCTGCCTTCCTGGGCTGCCCCTGCCAGACCTGGGCCGATGGGGTGTCACGGGGTGCCACTGGCAGAGAGGACGCTCTGGAGAGGACCTGGATCTGCAAACTGCCCACTGCCCACAGGGCCAGCCTAGACTCCAGGACAGGGACTTTCAGGGAGCACCGTGCCCAGCCAGCCCTCTGTGGGTGCCTAGCCCGGAGCTGGTGGGAGCTTCTTCCACCCTGCCATGAGACTCCTCCCCAGGAGGGGTCTAGGCACAAGGGTAGGCATCATGGGAGGAGGAATAGGGCCCCTCAGTAGTCCCGTAAGCTGGGCAGGGCTGACCCCTTCCCCAAAGAGGAGAGAGCACGCTTGAGTGGGGTCTTATGGGCAGATGAAATCATGGGTGATTTCTGCCTTTTTAATTTATTCTGAGAGAATGAGGGTAAAGATAAAAAAAAGCACATTTGATTTGCTTGTTATAACAGAAATGGAATTTTAAAGAACTTGGAAAAAAAGAGAGAAAACATTCCAAAATCCCTCAGCCAACACTAGCTACTATGCAAGATTTTTAAATTTTAGCTCTGAGCTTCCTGACAGGCTGAGCAAAAAGGGCAACAACATGAACCATGTGCTGTTGGGAGCTGGGACTTACCGTGATGGTCTCAGACCAGACTTTCTGGTCTTTTTGCCCCTTCATTCACTCACATCTCTAGACCTCAAGTCCTGACTTTTGATTTGGAAAATGTGGTTGCTCTCAGATGAGCAAAGATGGGAGACCAGAGCTGTCTGCAGGCAGAGGAGAGAGGTGTGGTAGGAGGTGAGAGCTCAGACTGTCCTGGTGTCCACCCACCTGAAGCGGGGGGCTCCCACTCCCCATCCAAAGCCTGGCATAGTCAGGCTGCTTAGCCAAGGTAAAAGGGCAGGAGGCAGCCACAGGGGAGGCCAGGGGAGGGCAGCGGAGTCCAGCAGGGAGGGGCTCAGGCCCCCGACAGGCAGCTGGAGGGCCAAGCCAGTAGCCGCTGAGCAGCTCAGAAATCTATTTTCCTAAGCACTTGGCATTTGCCTGAAACCTCAAGTGTATTTTCCCTAAGTTTTATTTTTTCTTTGACCCCAAACTCTGGTAAATCCAAGGGAAATTTAATTATGGTGTTTTGGGTCCATTTACACTTAAACCCGCTCAGCATTTTTCCAGGGCCCTTCTGGAGTTCAGCACGCCTTGGGAGCCTGCTAAATGAACGTTTTTATTATTATTATTTTTTGAAAAGGCCTCCCTCCCCTCCCCACCCCCTTCCTGCCAAAAATAAACAAGCCCAACTCCAGGCTGCAGCTGAGTCAGGCGTCCAGGCCACCCGACCAAGCCGGCCTGCCGTCTCCGCAGCCCCACCGTCTCCACCGCAGAATGCCCACTCCTCCTGGTCCTCCCGGCTCTTCTGGGCACCCCCGGGCAGCACGGCCAGTGCCCTGTTCAGAGCCTCACCCCACCACCCTTGACCCTGCCATCCCCTCACCCAGCCACCACACACAAATCCCAGCACAGTGTCCAACCAGAGCCTGAGAGTCCAGTTTGGCCAGCTGAGCCTGGGGACAGTGGGGGGCTCAGTCTCAGCCACTGTGGCTGCAGACAGCATCCGGGCCAGCCCAAGGGACCCCGGCCCTCCCCAGGATGATGTGGGTTGGGCAACCCATGTCCTGCATGGCAGGGAGGACGGTGAGGTCAGCACAGACAGAGGCCCTTTCATCAGCCCTGTTTAGAAAAGTGGGGAAACTGAGGCACAGAGCACCCTGTGGCCTGCCCTGCTGAGGGGCCCAGTGGCCACAGGATTGCCGTGCTCTTTGGAGGTTTCAGCTGGGCTTGGAGAGGGTGGAGTGTTCTCTGCAGCATTCAGGGAGCCAGGGACATTCAAGGCCCCCAGCCCCAGGCCCCGCACCTGGCTGCACACGGAGGTCCTCCCACCAGGACCCAGGGTCTGCAAGCTGGCACACAGGGCCACCCAGAGCTGATTGGAGAAGGCACCATTTGCAGAGAACTCTCTGAGGCTGGGCAATGGCCACTCCAGGGGCCCCTTCTGCAGAGGCCCCCAAGTCAGGGCCCCAAGAGCCACACCCCTGCCCCCAACTCTGCTGCGGTGGCCAGCAGAGCCCAGCAACTTGCGCAACCTGCCCAGCAGTCAGCCCAGTCCCTGCAGCCTCATCCCGCCCCTGCTGACCCTGTGTCTCAGGGCTGCAGCAGCAGTATGGGCCTGGGCCTGGGGTCCACGGCCAGGCCCACACCACCTGCCAGTGCCGGGGCTCAGGGCCTGTCTCGGTATGGGAAGCTGCTGGAAGGGGACCTCACACAGTGCTCAGAGGGGACACCAAGGAGTGGGCCCTGGGCTCCCCGAGAAGGATCTTTGGGGATTTCAGTCAGGAGGA